AACATTTGCTCTGCTTTGTAAAGGAAGCCATTTGTTCAACAGCTTAAGTATGAGTAACTCTTAAAGCTTTATATTGTACAACAGCGCAATATTGTTAATACCATGATAGCATACAGATGTCACAATGTTGAAACAGAAAAATGAAAGACGGAAAGAAGTAATGAGATATCCAGGATTTAAGTATGATGAACAATATATGACTGTTGAAGTAAAAAATAGAAGTGTCTGTAATAACATATGTATCTGAAAGAAATAAGGTAAAGTTATTAATAAATTAAAGTGCTAAGCCAGTACTTCCGGTCCTGTTCTTAGAGAATTCCAATTGGCAAAGGCTCTGGAAGCGTGGGTGCTCTGGAACACAGGACCTTGATTTGAAATCCTGACTTTCTGGGCACAGATTGTAAATTGCTAGTGAGCTCATTTATATGATTAAAAAAAATAAAAATCCCAAATGAATAAAAAAAAAGGACTCTCCCTTTTACTTTTGGCATGCATTTTATAGAAGAAAAAACCCCATCATTTGAAGGTAATTTAATTCTATTCTAAAGCATAACACAGAAGCCTATGAGAGTACAATTTCCTTGTATTTGGGATGTATGATGTTATTTTCTATTTTTTAAAAATAGTCCAAAGATCCCCTTTTTATTTTTTTCTCCTAAACAAGAAACCAATTCTCCAGCTCAAAGAAATATTTAGATCAGCCCTCTACAGCTAAGGAAGTAGATGGTAAGATCCAAAGCAAGCAATTCAGATTTTGGAAGCATTTTATGAACTACATTCTGAACCACTTATGTAGTCTAGCTAAATTTTTTATGCTTTGCTTTTTAAATAAACAAAATGAGTGCAGCAGAATTTATTTATGTTTAAAATTTATGAGAATAAAATAATAAAATAAAAAATATGACATACTAATGCAAATGCTTACCACTCAACATAGAATTCTGAAATAAGAATTACAGACAGCTGTAGCTTTAGTCACATGACTAAGTTCTGTTGTATTATAATTTACCATTCACAAGGAAAGTCAAGAGCATTTGTTTTCCATTTTGTTTTAAACAGTGAATGACAATACAACATTGTAGTGATTCTTAGGAAAGCCTATTTGACACATTTTTTCCTTCCATTAAAAAAATAATAAAAAAAATAAAATCCCTGAAGACATATATTTGATTTAAGTGTGGAAAAAAAACAACGAAGGAACCTCAGCTTATTCGTATACCAGTGTAAAACATTTAGCAAAATCAACTGCATCGAGTAGCCCACTCATTTCATCTAGAATGCCCTGAACATAAACAAGTGGAATGAAGCTCATTATTGCAAGAAATGTTTGGCATTTCTTAACTTCGTAAGTCAAGAAACATACAAAATAAAATTTTAACATATTATTAATACTTATTTCCTGGGCAATCACCAACACTTAACTCCTGCAACATACGTGGAGAGCAAAAAACCTAAGTATTTTGTTAAACTAAAAAAATAATATTGGATCTACACATGTACCGCTGGACTCAGTTTCATTTTGGCATCCGTCTCCTACTGAAAAGTGCCTGAGACAAAGACTAGTGCAGGACAACAAAATAAATATGTACTTAGTGCATGGAGTTTTTCACTGACATGTTTTGTACCTTTGACCAACTGTGTTCAGAATCAAAGAATAAATTAAAAAACTGGCACAGAATACTTTCAGCAGATTAATTTTGCACTGACCTCCCTTAAAATACATATGACGAATCAGAATAAGAAGAATTAAAACACATCCATTTTTAATACGACTATACTTTGTAACATTTCTCCTTATTAGTTAATTATTTGCAATAAAATTAACTACAGTAAGACTCTCATTAAAGTCTAGGAATTTTGAAAAGATCTATATAAAATTTGATTATTTATAGATAGATATATATATATACACATATATATATTGAGGTACAGTTTATTTAAGTTTAAACAGAAGATATCCCAACTAAGAAAAATGTCTAAATAGGATTTGAAATCCATAATTACCTTAATTAGAAATTCTTATCTGCCATATTACAAAAGCATCAATAATAATAATAAAAAAATCCCCTACGGTACTAGTCCCCTAAGAACCCTTCTTGGGAGGCAACTTAAAAATTAAAGCGCAACACAGTATGTTGCATTGTCACCTATACTATGTTTCTTTTCCTATTCTCTTGTCATAACAAACTGATCTATATGTCTCCTGATAAATAATATTATTCAGGTTTCATTATAGATGCAAAACTAGATGAAAATCACAAAAGAGACATTGTTTAGCAATAGTCAATCATGATTCTATAAGCCTTCATCCAGGTCAATACTTCTGTTTGGAGTACTCACTTGTACATCTATTCTTTAATGTGAACTCTCCAGATAATGAGTAGCTCCAAACTGGCTGAGATGGCCAGTCTCAATAAACAGAACTGCCACAAAGATGTCATGTTATGTATTGACAGACTAACTGGAGACAGAGCACTTAGATGCCATCTGCTGATTGTCATAAATGCTCAGAACATTTATGGACCTCAGGTTCAGACATGTAAAATCAGTGTGGTCACAAATGTTATTGCCATATGAAAGCAAGCTCAAAAATTATTCATGCTAAAAACCATAGAAAGATATTTTCATTGAAGTAATGACTTTTTATACTATCATTTCATTATACTTTCATTTGGGTGTTTAGTCCACATCAGCTTATGTGAGCACTCTGTTTACAAGACATACAAATGTAAAACTCATAAACCCTGACATCTGATATTTTCCTCCACTTGAATTGTTTTTAAAAAGATTGACTTAGCTTGTGACATTCCATTCAACTACAGCATACAGTACTAATAAGCCAGTCTGACTCATGTATATGATAGTTATTTTCTAGCACTATCTCTGGCTCTCTGCTTGAAAAATCTTTGTATATAAATCGTACAAAAAATAATGATCCTTGAACAATGCCATTATATGGCATTGATGACTGATGAGGGTAATTGTTTGAGATCATTCTTATTTACTAGTGATCTTCAGGAGAAGCATTATATCCCAGTCATCAGTACTTAAGTGTTGTTCTATATTTTAATTGCACAGTGCTTGTTCCAAGAATGAACTTATTTTTAAAACAATGAACACCTGTGGTACATGAGCCTGAGTAAACATAAATAAACAATAAATTCAAAATTGAAAATTCTCTGTTGACCTAATACAGCTGAGGTCCTTGAAAATTATTTCTCACTCTGTGCCTTATTACAGGTAGAAAGTCATTAAAGTCTCCTCCCTGCTTCTTTCTGATGTAATCAGATGCAAAATTCCTTGCTATGATCTCAGAAGAAACCTTTTCTGACAGTGCAATGCACTATCTATTGTGCTACATAGATAACAAGGAAAAACATACAACGAAAACACTGTATAGTCACATTCCTGAAACAAGGCCTCCCCTTTGTATGCTATTGTTCAACTGTATGCAGATGGTACCTTCCTAGGTTTTCTTTGCATATGCATAGTAAAAACTTTAATCAACCACTAACCCATTCCCATTCATAAGAATGCCATTTTCGTGGCAAAAAGTCAGCTAGAAAATCTTAGGAAGTAGGATTCGTGAGTGTGGTCTTAAAAAACCCAATGACAGGCTTTTATAATAATGTTAGCAAAGCACATTTTTAAATGAATATATAGATTGTTTAAGCATGTCTGAATAAAGTCACTGAGTCAGTCATCTTCTGAAGGACAAGTTCTGCCAGGGCAAAAAGAAACTAACTAATAAGGGCATTTAATTCTTCATGTAATAAAAAAGAGAGATACTTCTCTGTTCTTCCTGTTTCTTTAATTTTCTTTCTATGTCTAGTCTTGGTCATATCCAGTGCTACTCTGTAATGTTATTTATGCATTTGACTCCCATATGTTTGGGCAGAATGATAAATACATATTAAACCAGAAGGAAATGAGGGGACATTTCTGGTTAGAAGAATATGCTGGCAACTGCCCATGTTGAAAATTACTCAGATTAACAGTATAAATATATATATATATATATATAAATAATGCTACCTCGCTCCCCATCCTTGATATGGATGTCATTTCACTTCTGAATTAAAACAAAGCAAGAATTAATAATGACAACAATCTACATGAGAAACTCAAGATTCAAGGTAGCACCTTGTCCTCATGTCTCCAGAGTCTTCTGTATTTCAGGAAAATGTTAGCACTGACAGTTGTCTTTTGAACCAGTCCCAAGAGAAATTAAAGTAAGACTAAAAATTCTCACAGTTTCATTTTGGTTACCGTTAATGTATTACCAAACAAAATCAGGCAGTTACTACTTTCTTTATAGAGATCAGATACAGAGATTAAGTAGGTCCATCCTACAGAATAAATTTTTCAAAACTGGAAACTGAATTAGGTTATTTCGAACATTTAGATCAAAGTAAATATTTCTACATTATATACAGAAAGATCTTACACTCTGACTCATCTGTTACAAAAAGCTGCAGGATGTTACAATACTTACATGAATTAATATTGCATTTTCAATAGCATGCTCAGTAAAAAGAAAAATGAATATTTGGCTTTTAAGACACTGATTAATTGTGGATCACAAATGTGATATTTCTTTTGGTTTATGTCAAACTAACATTGCAGCAGGATACTTTTTAGCACAAGAATATTCCTTGAACTCTAGTCAGACTGCATATCCAGTTTTGAGAGAGACTGTTTTTCATTCTGCACTATTATACAACACTTCTTTTTGCCTGGCACTTGACAGGCATTCCCATCCTTTGCGTTTACTTTACTTCACTTCCTCAAAGCTGAGGCTGCAAAAACACAGCCAGCAGCCTCATAGAGCTTTCCATGGAAAACTGCCATTCTAAACTGGCACCTAACTTCACTTTATTATTCACTCAGGGAAGTTTAAAACTCTGAGATAATTTTAAATATTTATGCCAGTAAACGAAAAGTAAACTGATGAAAAGTATAATAATAAAAGAAAAAACAAAAACAATGTAAGCCATTACTGAAGCAGCTCTTCTTGTGAAAGCTCTGATGTTCTTTGCTTGCCAGTCACCAGCTCCAACTCATCCTTCAAATCCTGGATTTCCTTTTTCAGCTGGACAATCATCTGTAAACAGCAAGGCATAAACCAAGCATCATCTACAAATAATAGCTAGTTTATGATTTTTGCATTAGAAGGCTGAGTTTTGGTAAATATTATACTTCGGTTTTATCTTTTGTTAAACAAGGTCTCTTTTTTAAAAAACTGTTAAAATGCCTTAAATACACCAAGCACCTTTTTTTTCTTTTTCCATTTATAAAACAAAGAAAAGTCTTCTAAACTCAGTAAATTCTTGTGTTAGAAGACATTGCTGTACAGAAAGAGTTCAAAAGATTTCTTGCAAAAGAGAAATAAAATTTGACATAGGAATAAAAAGAGCTTTTTTGTCTTGTTAGTTTTGCCTATTAATAATGAAAAGACACTTAAGAACTGACATCTTTGTTAGAGAAAGGGTAACTACACACCAAAAGTGATTTTTTTTTTACTTTCCCTTTAGAAACAGAAGTTCCAAAACACTTTTATAAGAATTATAGCACACTTTACTTGTAGGATGCATCAGTTCCTAACAACAAACAAACATCATAAGGCAACAAAATTAAATTGCATTAATGAATAGTAATGATTGTGAGAACTGAACTCGATTTTTAAATTTGCATAGTTCATTGTTGGAACACTACTTTGGGAAAAAAATGTCTGCATGAAACCATATTTTACAAATGAAAATATTCTAAATATGCATTTGATTATTTCTTTTAACCCTAGATTACTGTTAACATATTTTTTACAACAAAAGTATGAAAGGCTAGCTTATAATATTTTATTTAAGAATCTACTAAAGTGATGAACTGTTAATTAGAGAAGTTGAAAGAACACTTAGAGAATATTGCAGGCAAAATGTTTTAACCTAATTTCATATTGCCCCACTCTGGTGCCACATGCTGATGTAGTCTGCACCACTTACTGAGTCAAGCAAATAACACTTGGGGCTGGAGTATAAAATGGTAGACAGCTGAATGATATCACCATCTCTGCTCAATGTTCAAATTTGTTAGCATGATTAACTTCAATCTGACAACAACAGAAATACCAGTTTCAGGATATGGATAAAAGATTGATTTTCAAGTATTAATAAGACAAGCAAAAATCTACAGAAGCAGAACTATTTAATGTCTATTTTACATGAATGCCAGAGGAGAGGAGGTTTAATTCAGGGTCAAGACTTTTATTTTCAGTTTAAATCTTTGGTCATGAGTGACAGAGGTTCAAAGATGAGTAGCTTAAAAATACAATGAGTACAAATTCGTCTTCTCTAGTAAGATAAAAAGTCAGGAAGTCTCCATCATGTAGAATAAATTTTATGCAACAGTCAGACCCAACTCAGATCTATCAAGAAGTATTATGAACTCCCTTTATAAAGCATGCATTCAACTCACAGATGATAAAAACTGCCAATAAATTGTGTTGGATTTTTATGAAAAAAAAAAATATAAGTTGAGCAATTTACTGAATAATCAGGTTGCACTCTGGGAATGTACTTAAGGTAGTTAAGATGGGCAACAAATTCCACAATGAGCACAGAGCCATATAAAGTCAAGGTACCTGTGTACCCCTGCCTTTTCCACAAGGGGAGATGGTTTTCTAACTCTCATGAGTCCACTCTGCTTAACTTGCTAAATGATCCCGCAGAGCAAGACATACCAAACTTGTGGAGTATTGCTCCACAGGATGTAGTAAATGCTCAGGAGCCTGCATGTGTTTAACCTCAATCAAAGGCTTCCGTGGCCATGGAAGAAATCTTTTGCATGATTTGCTACTATAAAGCCTACACAGGAAAGAAAAAAGAGGACAGACAGACAGAAATGAAGAAGTTGTTCAATGCCTACTGGGTTTATTTTTTGGCCTTTCTTTCTTCTTAAATTGTGATGCAGTTACTATTAGAAATTGCTTGGAGAGATAAATAAATAAATAAATAAATGAAAAAGAAAAAACAGCAGAAAACCTGACAAGAATCTTCTATTCCCATTGAATTTCAAGGACAAGAGACAACAACAACAAAAAAGCAAAATCATTAACAATAACTGAAATATGATAATTGCCATCAAGTAACAATTAATGAATTGTTACTTAAAATCATTAATCATCTAATCCCCAAGTTTTAGACAACAAATGCTTCTTACATTATATAACCTAAAATTCTTCAGATTCTAGAAATCCTATTTCTACTGCTTTACTTGTCTTCACTTTTTTTCCTAAAGGTAACTTCTCAGAATTCTTTCTTCCTAGCTAAAATGTTCTTTGAACCAGTTTCAAGGAAGAACTGTATTTGTATGTTTGTTAGCTTTATAATACACAAATCATTTCAGTGCAGCAGTGTGCTTTCACCAAGTGACTAGTAATCTTAGCATATTTTTAAGTAGTTTAGAGCTATCCAGTTATGTGTGATTATGATTTAGAAATTAACATTCTGAAAAAAACAACACAAAACCAATAATGAAAGTGACCATTACTCTTCAGATGCTTTAAGAACTGGTAAAGCCTTTAGAGGTTTTATAAAGGTCCACTTAACTATAATTATGTCCAAAAGAAAAAAAGTAGAATGGCAGTTATTTTATAGAAAACAGTTGGAACTTGCATCTAAAAACAATTTATTGGGATGATTCAGTACAAAATTCTCAACAACAATTTGACTGCTATTGATTATTAAAATGTAAAACAAGCAATCTCCTTCTCTCTGCCCTCAGACAACTCTCACCAATCTGGGGTCAATTTCTTCATTAAGAACTGCTTCATTCTTAATAAGAGCAACTCGCTGTGCAAATCTGCAGGTTGATATAGATTCCTGGAAGGAAAAGAAAAATAAAAGAGTTGAATTTCAGTTAGCTTTGCACCAGGCAAGTAGACCAGACTGCTAATGAAGTCATTAAACTGTGTTTCTATTTTCTTAGCATTTTACAGAAATATTCTATCATTTTATATTCCAAAATGACAATATTCAAAGGAAATTAGGTTAGCATATTAATGAGAGTGACATATAAAACTGTTAAATCCTAGTACATATTTTATTGATCCAGTTAATTTCCTGACCATCTGTGTTTCAGATAAGTCCCTGACTGGCACTGTAGGATAAGAAAGTCATGCTATTTAGAAGGTAATAAGGTTTGAATGATGAGAAAAAGAGAAAATTATCTAAAACTATTTTTTTTTCCTGAAAATGGGACTAGGTCATTTTATGTAAAAGACAGTGGGAAAAGAGATGAAGGGAAGAGTGGAGGACCAGGAAAAATGAGAAACAAGCTGGGAGACTTGGAACTAGAAGGCATACAGGAGAACTGTGATACCAGATAAAAAATGTCAGATGAGCTAAGATGGGATGCAGGAGAAAGGAAGGCAGAAAAAAAAAGATACAAGACTGAGTTTGTGGAGGAAACTCTTTGACAATCAGTGTGTACTCCCATCTAGGGCACAGAATGAAATCAAAGATCCTTATATGTACTGTTCCTCCTTTGAAATCAGCTGATACTTGAATGTCAGACCCTGCTAGAGAATTGTAGGATAAAATTTTCTGAGATGTGCTATACTCCATTTAAAAGGGAATTTACATGTACTTTACTACTGTAACAGAACTGATTTTCAGAATCAAAGTAATTCTGCAGTTTTCAGTCCTCCGACATATGAAAATACCAATTTAAATGTTATGTTCATATAGTTCTTTTTCCACAGGACTTCTGTCTCTGTCAGTGCTTGAAGGGGTGGTATCTGAATTAGGGTTACATGAGGAAAAATACCAGTGCTTCTTGCCAAAACATAATATACACAGAGAATCAAAGGAAGGAAAGGTCTTACAACTAAGACAGTTGTACACAGTATTAGCTGTGTTTGCCTCTGCTTTACAGTTCCTGTGCAGTGATGATCACCTAATGTGATTTTTATTACGTTCTGTACATATATTGTGTACAGTTATATGTACAGTACACATACATACATTTCCATCAGATCTCTTTGCCCTGTTTAGTGTGAAGCATACATTAAATTAATTAGTAGCTAATCAATTCAGTTTTCGATGTTCAATATGTAAGCTTACAATTTATTTATTCTATGCCATGAAAACAGTCATCAAGCCTGACACCTAATTTCCTAATCATTTTTTTACCATGTTTATCATCACAGCACCTCAGGGCTTTACAAGAATTAGTCAATTAACCCTTTGCTGCAACTGTGTGGAATGACTACATTTAACAGAAAGGAAACTGAAGTCAAAAATACCAAAAAAATTATATGCAGTTGTTATCAATGTACAATCTTCTGTTCAAAACAGCCTCCATTCAGCTTCAGCTACAGCTATAATAAGTAATATATCTATAATTCAGAATCAACATCTTCATTCAAGCACTCCACAAAACTAGCACAAAAAACGTAATGTAGTGATCTGAAAAATTCTGTATAAACTCATTGGTAGAAGTAGGGATATAATCTAGTTCTCTAGGATAATATTCTATTTGTCCTCTTCATATGAGGGTCCTTTCTTACTTTGAGTTCTCTGCTTCATTGCTTTCATTGCAAGAAACAACACTGGATCCTTAAGAAAGTAACTTTTATTATACACCTTCAGTTCCCACTGGGTGGTAGTTCTGTCTTGTGCTTCATTCGTGACTGAAATGTATATCCCATGGGAGAAAATAAGCAAACATGCAACCCAAACATAATGACTCATGCACTATCCTAATTCTGACATTTTCTAATGACTTATCATTAATTGATAGTAATTGACTTACCATCTGTTTTTATTATTCAGACATATTAACTTATCATCTGTCTGTCTATATTATTTGGACATATCAGATTGTGGGGAGCAAGGAAGAGATTTTTTTTTTTATTTTTGGGAGGACTGAAGAATAAGATCTGTTGTGTGGATTGTATATGTTAAAGCAAGAACATGAAAACTGTCAGTAGCATACTCTGCATAATTGCTTGGGCTAAATATTCCCAAAATAGAAATCTAGAACACAACATGAGATACATATACCTGATGAATTGATATACAAAAGGGTGCTAATCCCACAGAGTCTAAAATAAAATTAACAAACTTACCCAGTTGCATTTGTAACAAGACAATATGCTTGCATAATTACATGTTTGCAAGTCTGAACAATCTGTTTTCATTTAACAGCAAAGTCCATTTTCTAAAGAAAAAGAAGTCTACGACTAGATGAAGTATGGTTTTAGTATAATGCTTTCCACTGTATTTCGGAAAACAGTTTTAGGCTAAATAGTTTTTTTTCTTGTTTATTCACATTAGAATGCTTTGATGTCAATAAAATCAGGAAATAAATATATTATAAATGGCTTTGAGCAGGGGTTCTATCTATTCACATCACTACATATTTTAGAATAAAATAGACTATACTGTTTCAGTTGAAAGGGATCTACAACGATCATCTAGTCCAGCTGCCTGACCAAGTTAAAGCATGTTGTTAAGGGCATTGTCCAAACATCTTTTAAATACTGACAGGCTTGGGGTATCGACCACCTCTCAGCCTGGTCCAATGTTTGACCATCCTCTTAAAAAAGAAATGCTTCCTAATCCAGCCTGAATCTCCCCTGGCACAGCTTTAAACCATTCCCATTAATTCTATTGCTGGATATCAGGGCAAAGAGCTCAGCACCTCCCTCTTTGCTTTCCCTCCTCAGGGAGTTGCAGAGATCAAAGAAGCCTCCTTGGCTTCAAATTAGACAAGCCCAAATTCCTCAGCCACTCCACAGAGGACATTCCTTACAGCTTTTCACCTGCTTTGTTGCCCTTCTCTGGATGCATTCAAGGACCTTCACATCCTTCTTAAGTCATGGGGCTCAGAACTGCACACAGTCAATGTGTTTGCAGACACCAACACTGCATACAGCAGGATAATCACCTCTTTGGACTTGCTGGTTGTGCTGTGTCTGATGTGCTCTGTGATGTGGTGCCCTCTTGACTGCCAGGGCTCACTGCTGACTCACACTGAGACTGCTGCTGACCAGCACCCCCAGAACCCTTTCTGCACGGCTGCTTTCCAGCCACTCCTCTCCCAGTTTATGTTTGTGCTGGGCATTACTTCACTGTAGGTGCAGAATCATCATTTCGACTTGTTAAATTTCACCCCATTACTCATAGCCTGATGCTCCAACCTATATAGATCCCTCTGCAAGGCCTCCTGTCCCTCAAGAGAGTGAACAGTAACTCCCAGTTTGGTATCATTGGCAAACTTGGTAATGGCCCATTCAAATCTTGCATTCAGATCAATGGTGAATATACTGGAACAGAATTGGCCCTAGAACTGAACCCTGAGGAACATTGCTGGACACCAGCCTCCAGCCAGATGTAGCCCCATTCACTACAACCCTTTGATAAAAAAAACAGCCCTTTTTGTAAACAAAGAGAAGAAAACATCACTACACATAATTCCAGGGAAAGAAATTAGTGAAGGGACATAAAAGTATTTAAAAAATTTCCATAAGTCCCAAACTACCCCACCCAATTCCCTCTCCCCCTTAGTGAATTCTCCAGCTATCTACCATACTCAATGAAGTCTTGATTCCAAAGAAGTCAAAGATTCCAAAGAAGTTCTGTCAAGGCTTTCAGTGGAAATGCATTTTCATAACTCAAAAATTTATTCATCAGGAAATCAGTACATTTTAAAAAAAAGAACAGTTCATTACTAGGTGCAAATTATTTCCCAACTGCCCCTCACTTGAGATTACGTAGAGAAAAGTACATTTCCGAATGGATATCCTAGTGCAATTTCTACAGATAAAATTATCTCCTGGAAACAAAGTTAATTTTTTTTTCCAATAAGGATAAGAATTAAAGCATACACATTTGAATTGTAAACTACAATAAAATTCAAAAGAGCAGGATCTTTAGAGAAGTGGAAATATTTTTGTTCAAAATAGATAAAAATAACATACATCTATGTTTCTTTTGTCTATAGAGAGTGTTGCTATCATGGTAGTCATGCAGTTTCCTCCCAGGCTGTCTCTTAGCACTGAGGTCATCATAGAGTTTCGATAAGGAATGTGGGACCGGTTTTTCTCTGCAAGGGCAATTATTACCTAAAACAATAGCAAAAATAGAAAAGACTTGGAAATTTATATACCTATTAATGACTGACACATAAAAGAACAAAAACAATCTACTCAGGAACTTCTGATACAATAAAACTACGCTTATGCACCTTGGTTGCAAACCTGCTGGTTTTATTGAATGAATTTCAACTTAAATTTCAGTGTGTTTATATGTCTTTGTAGGAGCTGAACCTGAAAGACCAAATAAATTAAATTTTATCATACCCTAGCCTTACAGTCTCTCAGCAACATGGAAACTGAACACGATAAACTCAAACCCACAGATTTTCCTAAAACACAGGAACTTACTGAAAATCTTCCTCATTCTTTTTTGTCTTAACAATAAAATATGCATAGTATTCAAGTAAAAACTTCCTCAATATTTGCTAAAGCATGCTTTAAAAATTACACATTCTTAAAGCATGTGCTTCTTAGATGGGTTGATACATTTATTTCTGAGAAAATCTCTTGGAAAGCAAAGCACAAATAAAAGGGTGCATGATTACAATGTACTGCTGGAAAGAAATGATTCAGTTCAGAATATATATGCCTTGGCCAAAAAGGAAATTGTACACCTCCTATTCTCAGTTTCCCTTCTCAGCTGTTTACATTATAGGACCTAATTATTATTAAATAAAAGGCTAGATTACCCCATGATCTCCTGTGATGTAAAAGATTTGAACTGTTATCAGGCCAAGGACTGTACTGAAAAACTGTAGCTATATGAGTTGTGCAAGCTCTCCTAAATCATTACGAGTTGGTTTTCTTTTAATAATAAATATTACATTCCAGTATATATTTAATTTATACTGCATTTACAAAAAGTGTTATTTTAGAAAATTTAGTAGCAACTTTTTTGTGGCACTAGTTTCTCTTAACAGTCTTCAGAAAGTTAAAAGTTAAAACTATAAATCTTACACTGGCAGCCCAGAGAGACATGAATGCATAATATGAAAACTACTATCTTGTAAAGGAATCTGGAAAGCCATTCCTGGATCAAGGTTTTCAAATCTCATATTTACAACTTGTTATATAGAAACATGTTAAAACTTTGTTGGTTTATAATATTGCATGGAAACCTCATAGTAGTCTAGCACATACATTAATAAGCACACTGTCAGCCTCTGCCACACAGAGACTATAATCTGAATAGACTAGATGGGAAAAGAGCCAGAGGGAAGATGTGTTATTTCCATTAAAAATGGGAACTCTGTTACAGAGAAGTTCATTTTTTCTGAAGCTCATGCAGGAAGTCTGTAGTGCAGGTGGAATCTGAACCCTCCCACACTAACACTGGAAAGTTTTGTGACTAACTCTTATGATGCAAAAGCCACTGTACTGTCAATAACACAGAAGATTTTGGTCTTAAGTCCCTTTAGTACAACCTCACCTAAGTCACTAAATCAATCTTTACAATCCAATCAAGGAATCTAGAACAGAAAGAGGAGAATCTGTAGGAGAGGGAAGTAATGTTCTTTCATAAAGTGAGAGAAACCACCTGTACAGACTCTGAACCTGTGTCCTCTAACAGCCACAAAATATGATAACCAGAAAATTGTCTCATTTAAGAAGGCATTATTGTCCTTTTAATACAAAAAAGGGTAGTTGTTTTTTGTTGTTGTTGTTGTTGTTGGGGTTTTTTGGTTTGTTTTTTTTTGGTTGGTTGGTTGGTTTTGTGTTTTTTTTTTTTGTTTTGTTTTTTTTTTTTTTGTGTGTTTTTTTTTTGTTTGTTTTGTTTTTTGTTTTGTTTTTGTTTTTGTTTTTTTGTTGTTGGCTTTTTTGTTGTTGGTTTTTTTTTTTAATACTGTTAGATCTCAGGTTAATAATATCACTAAACCAGGGCTGTAATATGCAATATGCTGAGTGAAATCAACATAATTTAAGGCAGAAAGTTTCATTTTGAGTGGGTCAAACAAACCAATTTAAGGTCTAGTTAATTTTTTAAATGTGGAAGCTGCCAGAACTATAGTTACTTGCATCCTGTATGACACATTATGGAGTAGAGTAGGTACAATCACTCACAAATTATTTCACTGAAATGTATGGAAATATTGTTAAGCATAAAGGAAGGCCTGAGACAAGTGGTTCTGATATGATACGAAGTGTGCCCAAGGGTCCCTGTTCCTGTCCATATCCTTTATGCAAGGAATAGATTTGCACTAGTACCTCATGCCAACAGGCAGCCAGAACATGTTCTCAGAGCATCCTCAAGAGATGAGGATTTTGGGGTGCTTGCAGGTACAGAGCTATCAGGTACATCTGTACCTTGCTGTTCCATGTATCAGATGCTCTGAATCCATATGCCAACCTCTGAGGTCTTTTTTTATGTCTCCCATCCTATCTCCCATTTACAGTAGAGTTTAGCAGTTTAAGCTCTGGTCCTTACAGCAAAAAAAAAAAAATCAAACTCTGTTGCTGATGTCTTGTAGTTAATTACAAGCATTCTTACTTTTTGGACAACACATGCTTGTTTGCAATAAATATTACAGGTCTTGCTGGAAATAATTCACCCCAAAATCATGATTTTCTAGTCAGAAACAAATACATGTATTTCAATTTAAATTATTTAAGAGTTTCTAGTTTTTCTGTTACTTTACTGTCCGTATATGTTTATTAGGAAACATCAAACAGAAAATTATCTTTCATATAAGATGTGAATAAATCTAGTATTTGATGACTGGCAGTAATTTCAAATTTTATTAGAAAAACCTTTGGTAGGTATGGGTAGCAACCATTCACTAATGAATAAAATCATTCAATATTCCCTAAATGGAACACATGTTAAATGACAGTTAACAGGCATATTCATTAAAGCAGTGAGAACACTGTACTCTATTATTTTGGGGAAATAATTCCATTATAATGTCAAATCAGGTGGCAGTATCACTGTCAATTCACAACTCTAAGTTTGGTCCAGTATACTCTATGTTGTGCATCAGAAGGGAACATCTACAGACACACAGTTACAATGCAGTTGTAATTCCAGAACATGCTACTGTATCTCTCAGGCAAAGAAAAGCTACGCAGAGGCGGTAGTAGGGACCTCTAAGTTCCTGATGCCATTTTAGATCAGCTGCATGACACTATCTTCATTTTTCTCTAGACGTAGAGGCCACTTGGAGAAAAAGTGAGTTGATTTATTTGAAGATTTTTTTAAACACATTGTGAATATTTAACAAGTAGACCAAGTGTGGTAACACAGAACTCTGTTCCCATTGTCATCTCAATAAAAATCATTTTATATGACTATTTTATTATGAAAAGTGTTTAAAAATGGTATAACTCAACACTAAACCACGAGTAGGCAACTAAATATTTGAGAATGTAAATAAGCTGACTTGGAGGAATCTGTATACTTTAACATTAGTCACTGAAGGGTCAGAATTGAATGGTTTAATTCTCACTGAACAAAGAGATATTTTTTATAGTCTTCAGTATCAGAAAACATTTTTATTACTGATACACAATCCCAGTCAGAACCCAATGTGCTTATTTGCAACTCTATTTCTTCTAAAATAGGAATTAAAAGTTGCATGAAAAAAATACTCATTTCTACAGCACTTCAGACCTGAGTATTTGAAAACACTACACAGATTATTAAAATCAACCTCATACAAGCTCATGCAATGTTGCATTATAAATACATTAAAATTATACAGTAATAATATAATAATAATATATAATGGCCAGTCTTCGCAAACAAAGATTTTGGGAAAGGTCTTTTACCTTTCCAGCCTGCACAATGGATTTTTTAGGTGAGACACAGCCTGCGCTGAACTGAGCCCACCCTTTAATCCTAAGGTTCATCTGCCGGGGCCAAGCAAGTTTGGACAATGGCAGTGAGGTCCTCAGGATGTAGGTTTGTTTAGAGTGACCTTCTCATAGATGGATGGCCTCACAGGCTAACGAGCTCCATCTGCCCGGGGGACCTGGAATCGAACCTGGGTCGCAGCGGTGAGAGTGCTGCATCCTAACCACTAGGCCACCAGGGGTCCCAATCATACAGTAAATAAGAAGTATAATAAGTAAGCATAAGAAGTAAATAAGTGAGTATAATTTGTAGGATTCTGAAGCAGTCCACTTTAGAATCACTAATCCTTATCGCTCCCCTTGAGTAAAATTGAAACACAGACTTTTTTTTCAAGGTAAAATTTAAACAAACAAGGGGTCTGAAAAAAATTCAGGGTAACAGTAAATGACTGACTGCCACCTTCTACGCTTTAAGCTTCTTCTTTTGACAGATGAAACATCTCTCATTGTAGGTTAAATGAAACGCAAGAGATTTGTTCTTGTTAACAGAAAAACACATAATACAGAAATGAAAAATATTCTTCCCAGCAAGTGGAACAAACAGTTATATTTCCTAATAATAATTTTAAAGAATTGTCACATATAGACACCCATAAAATTTTCTGGTTTTATGGATTTCCTCAACTGTATATTTTACTAAATTATACATATACTGATGTGTAAATTAAAAAGGACAAGTATTTTTTCTTCTCTCTACCCCCTTACTTCTCCCACTAAATGAAAACCTCACAGACCTGATATGGTTGTACATAAAAATTTTTAAAGAAGTCTTAGGAAAAAATACTGTATTCTACATCAGAATCCCTCCAAATAATTAATTTCTGGCAATAAGAACAGTGTTTACTGTACTGTGAAAACAATATTATGTATTCAGTCTTAGGAAGAACTTAATTTCTTTTACAGGTGTGCGGTCTGAAATGAATACTTGAAAATCTTCAATGATTGCAAATTAATAGGACAGCATTCACAGAAGAGATTTCATTCATTGCCAAGTGTTTCTTACCCGTACTTGGTGTTTTACAGCATTCTAAACATCGAATGTACGAAACATCACAGTAGATCAGGGAGATATATATTAGAAACTTAATAATAATTACAATTAATTAGCATTAATAAAATAATAATTATAATAATAAATTAACAATTATTTAAATTTGGTAAAAATACAAATAATAATACTCATCATTGTTAATAAAATCTTTCATCTCCAAAGTTTCCATTCACTGCTGCTATCTTAAGAATTTTTTTTCTTAAATTAGTAAGATTAGTTGGGAGTAATCTATTTTCTCGTTATTTGCCCTTTCCAAGGAGGAAAAACAAAAAGCAACAGTGAAAGGAGGACAGGAATTTTAGCATACCTTGAATCAAGAAGCTAAGTCTTTTCCAGTAACAACAGCTGAATGACAAAGATTTGTGGAGATTTATTATTATCATTGTAGTTACATCTGTGAGTAGTAATAACTAATTATGGTAGTTACTCCATAAATACATTACCAAAGGTAACTCCTGTCTTTAAGAGATCAAAGATTCTCATGGGTAGAAGAATAAAACAACACATGAGAGAAGAGCCTAGTAATTTACCATCTTACAATGCTTGAACCAAATAAAACCAAAACACTTTGGTTCACTGATCCTTGAGTAATACATCCTGATCCCAGCCGTGGAAGGGGAAGGAGATTACAAAGAACATTTTTAGTAGAAATATGGATGCAATCTTGCAAGTATATTGCAGACAAAACAGGAAAAGTATTTTGGAAATACTACCCTGTATAGCTACTATAATCTTACTGTTTAATTTTTAAGCTTAATTTTTAAGCTTTTCCTAAATTAAAATATGTTAATTTAAAGGAAGGAAGAGCTATTAATTCAATTTTTAAAAATGGTGATAAATATCCTAATATATCAAGTTTTCCAAAACATTGCACATTGCTAAGCAGAGATGTAGTAAATGGACAAATGTTTTACTCTATTATACCTGTTCCAAATAATGTAATGACAGGTTGATATACTTGGCTTCTGTCAGCAAGTGACCTCCAACTCCAGTCTTTGCAACACGTTCTGATCCAGCAAGGTCTACTAAGTGCAACTTGGAGCGTCTGATAGTTGCAGATCCAGGTTCCTTGCTGGAGACGTGAATAGTGAAAATGCAGTGAGATCGGCTTGAGGCTTGATTCATTGGTGTCTACAGTGAAAAGAAAGGAGGAATCCTCAATGTTCAGTGGGAAAATAAATTTAGGTTTTTATAGCTTGACAATCTGGTAATCAAAATCCCCTATCCAGTTTTTTAGCTATGGGACCTGTAATAAATATGCAAGAAGAAGCCAAAAGGATTTACCTGACATTCATATTCTGGCCAAATACTTGGATAACAATGATCTGGACAAACTGTGCTGCAAGCAACCAAGGTTACTCCAAGATCCTCTGAGATTAGCTCAGTTGGTTAGAGTCTGGTGCTAATAATATCAAGGTTGGGGGTTTGTTGCCTGTCCAGGCTATTCACTTAAGATTTGGACTTGATGATCCTTGTGGGAACCTGTGACTATGTGATTGAGCACATCAGGAAAACAAGTGGTCTTAATATGCCAAGGAATATTAGAAAAGGGCACCTTGATCATAGGGAAAGTTACTAACTCCTGATCTCTGAGAGGTTATCAATTTCCCCATCGGTGCACGCTTTTTTCCTTTTTTTTGTTTCGATAGATAGCTATCACTATAACTACGACTAGGACTTTCTACAAGGCTTCAGACTTTTCCATTATTACTTCTATCAAAAAAATTAACTTGGCAGAATCAGTGTCAGAATTTTATGTGACATGACAGAGTTTTCATAAAAGGTTTGGCTTTAAATGTATTTATTTGGAATAAACTACTGCCACACTTCCTTTACTAGACACATGGAAATTTTTAGTCAATTTTTAGAGATGCTCAGTTTTAGCATCACTTTAAAGGTTTTCTCAATATATTTGAAATGCCGAACATAAAATTTTAAACAGCTCTCAGTTATTTAGATTTCAAATGACAATATGCCATCACATATGCACTTTTCTTTTCTGAAGAAGACATATAAAATATCTTTAATCATCTAAAACACCTTTCATTTAGTTGTATGAAGATATTGTTAGAAACTTTAAAAGAATTCCTTATTATCCTCATTTTATAAATAGCCAAAGCATTAGACTATGGAGATTAAAAGTTAGCATACAGATAGTATTTTTATTTATAAACTATAACAAGTATGACAACATTGTTTTCAGGGCATAAATGCAGAAAAATAGGGGACTGAAATAAATTGCCAAATTAATATTATTTACTTAGCAACTAAATCTATATTTATAGCTGCTGAAAAAGATGATTAAAAAATCCTGGTTATATTGTCTACATTAATAATGGCCAGTCTTCGCGAACGAAGATTTTGGGAAAGGTCTTTTACCTTTCCAGCCTGCACAATGGATTTTTTAGGTGAGACACAGCATGCGCTGAACTGAGCCCACCCTTTAATCCTAAGGTTCATCTGCCGGGGCCAAGCAAGTTTGGACAATGGCAGTGAGGTCCTCAGGACGTAGGTTTGTTTAGTGACCTTCTCATAGATGGATGGCCTCACAGGGCTAACGAGCTCCATCTGCCCGGGGGACCAGGAAGTGAACCTGGGTCGCAGCGGTGAGAGTGTTGCATCCTAACCACTAGGCCACCAGGGGTCCCCAAGTGCAGGGAGTACAATTAACACGGCTCTGCATTAATCTGTCTACATTAATCTCTTGTCTATTACTTTATTCCTCTGTTTTTCTGGAGTAATTATTTATGTAGGCATACCCTGTGATTCAGAATAGAAATACCAACATATTGCTTTTTTTTTACATAGTCTGCTTGTAGATGTTAAAACAGTCTGCCTACTGCAGGCGCTGAAGATGTTGTCTTGTTAACACAGAAAAGACAGCTCTTAACAGAATGAGTGCAAGATGAATAATCCTGTAACAGGAATAATATGGACAGCTATACTGCTTGGTTCAATTGTCTCAGCTTCAATTTCCCCATTTTTTTTTCAGCCTTAATAGTGCCAGCAACTGAGCTGTTTTTGGGAACTGATTCAGTTCAAAGGAAAAAAAATAAAGTCGGTAAACCATAGATATTTAATCTGGATTGGTTTTTCAATTCAGCCACAGCACAGCTATGGACAACAGTTCTAGTAAAATACCTGAAAACGGCAGCATACAGGGTGGGAACAAGTAGGTAGTGTGCAGGAACAGCCTACACTTGTAGTTGTTGGTGAGAATTCTGTATGTAAATTACAACCTTAGCACTATTTTCTCTTGGGTTGCTTTACCTAATAAAGGCAAGCTAAAAGGGAGAGGGAGAAGAATTTTGAACTTTAGTTTATACAGATGAGAAATTTTGGAATTTGCAGTCCTGTGAAATGAGCATCAGAGCATCAGAGTGCCATGATGTCTTCAGAGGTGATGCTGAGCAAATGAAGAGGAAGTGAGTTGTAGAGCTGGAATGAAAATAAACAGGCTCAGGGAAAGGTGACAAGCAAGAAAATACTCCAAAACTTACTTAAAGTGCAGGTATACTAAGAAAAAGTTATATGCTGTGAAAATGTACTTTATTCAGCAATTCTGATTCCATGATTAATCAGAGCCAGCTTCACTTATTTTACTAGGACAGCTATAATTTTATTACTTGCAGCTTTGTGAAGCAGGACTGGATATTTTATTTTTTTCCAGCTCAAAATCCATAACAGAATTAATATTTAAGGACATTCTCCTCAACAGAACTGCTATTTGAGGACATTTTGCACTAGAGACATGGCATCAGTCATACTATACTGCAGACAAATCTAAGCAGACAAGTCTAAGATCAAATATCAATACAGATTCAGCTGTGGAAGCACAAAGTAAAGGTTGCTGTAAAAGAAGCAGAAGAAGTTACCATACTTCTGAATATTCTTAAGCAAACTTGAGTTTCAGTATGCATCAAAACCTCACGTATTTCAAAATGTGCTTTTAGTCACACCTGTTTTAACACCAATAGAGGCAAAAAAAATAAAAATTGAAGTATAAAAGAAAATAATTTAAGGACTCTGAGTTCCAAAACAGTGCAATATTCCGTCTATTCAGTCCTTACTGTCTACTGCAATACACTAGCCACAACTTTATTTTGCGTGTTCCAAGTAGATTTGCTGGACTGGCCATTAGAAATTCTATTGCTTTTCTCTCCACAGCCTCCTTTTTTCACGTGAATGAAAAAAAGAATGAAGCTGATTTGGGAGTCAGTGGCTAGAATCCCAAACTCATATTTTTGTAAAGTCCTTCTTCACAGCAGAGTCATGGTTTAATAAGACACCAATACTCCTTTTGACAATGTAATGCTATCTCTGCTTTGCAGTTCCAATATGTAGGAAGCTCTGTTAGACCTCTTGCAGGAAGCATAATGCAATAAAAATTTAAACTGTTAAATGGGATGAGATCGTGAAACGTTAATTGCAGTCATAATTCCCCACACTTTGCTTCTTTTACCACATAAGTAGATGAAAAGCATACAACAGAAATGATGACTTGTCAGCATCTTCAGTCCAAAACCAAGCCTTTTTTTTTGTTGTTGTTTGGTTGGGTATTTGCTATCTTACATATGCAACTTCTGAGAATCACCATTCATCTTTTTAGAAAGTTTGAAAACTGAAAACCAACAAACAAAAATTTCTGGACAGTGTCTCAGAGCCTACTAAAATGTTCCTTTAGTGGCTTTCAGAGTTCGTTTTGGCTTTGTTAGCAGTATTCAAACCATATGTATATGAAATCATCCTCACACTAATTTGATGTGATGAAGGAAAAAAAAGAAGGAGGGGAGTGGCCTGGTTCTCAGCAGATGGTTGCTATTGTGAGAGTTATATATAGAACAACTGATGAGCTGCAGTTACTTACAAAGAAATAGTTTTTTTCCAGGAATTCTGTGACATCATAAACCACATAAGCAGACTTTGGATGCCTTGTGATATCACAAGAACTCTACAAAGGAATTAATGCCAGGTCATCTGTTGCTGTCCATTTGTGGCAGGGTAAAAGAGGAATTCAATAACATTTAAGATCACAACTTGGTAGAGCAACAGTGTTTCATTTGGAAAAAACAAACAAGGCATATTTGAAGCCATACGACCCAGACTTGTTTTTTTCCAGGACCAGAATATACCTGTTTGCTGAAATTAAATAAATTGTACAGAAACTTTGTGACTTTAACTATTACATCTATTCATACAATGGTTGCAAGAAGGTGGTTTCTACTTAAATGAGAATCTACAGCACAGTCATCCTGCAAGAAACATCTGAGTTGGATGTTTCTGGCAAGGAAAATGTCATTAAAATGACCAAAAATTTGCTGGAGCCCAAGATGTCCATCTTAATCTAATTTTTATCTATATTAAGTCAACAAAACATTGCAGGAGTTCTTCCCTATGCAGGAATTTATGTATTTCCCAAATATTTAATTTGTTGCAGTGGATATTATAAATGTTGTTTTCACTAAGAATAGCCATAAATGGATGCTACTGGTCTAAATAGAGTTCTTAATAACTGAGGACCCAAGAGCAAGTTTCTCAAATAGGAGAAAGACGTGGGAAAAGCTGTTTGAAAATCACCATTAGACTAAGAGAAGCTGCTACTATCTGGAAGAATAATGTGTTGATTATGGCTGCCAAAACACTCGGACAGAGAAAATACATAAGAGAGTTCAGGACTGCTGGGACAAAAAGATTTTACAGGTGATAAATGCAGTTGTTCAGCCCTTTTTGCAAACCATCTCCACTTGGCAGCTTATACCATTCCAGTGGAATCTTTTCTTCCTTGAATCAAAATATTTAGACAGCAGAAGAACGTGCATTCCCTGTGTGAGTAAATTAGCCAATGCAAAAGTGAAGAAAATCTGATTCTGAAATTCTGCATTTTTTTGAGAATGAAAACGTACAAAATTTTCTTTAAAGGAGTGTTTCTTTTCCTCTTAAGGCTTTTTCACTTTCTAACTTTTTGAAGAAGAGCAAGTCAAAAGAGAAAAGCACTGATAGCATCCAAGACTCATATCAAATTGATTTTGTCCAATCTCATGCTACATTCAAAGGGATATCTGTAGGAAGAAGTTATGACAGCTACAGTCATTTCACAGTTCAGATGGATATCTCTGCCTAATGAATATAAACTCCACCAATTCCAACAGAACCAAGCTATATGGAAGAGTATGTAAGTTGATGATATGGGCTTCCTGCCTTTATATTTGGTAGATGAGTGAGATCTTAATATATCTTTAGTTTCCTTTCTAAATAATATGGTGCAAGTGAAAGGGTTCTTCACGTGTACTTAAGTACACTTGACATAGTCGAAATTGAAAAATTTTTGCTATGAAAATATAAAGATCAGGATAGGTCCAAACATTTCCTGAAAGCAATACTTTATCTTTCCATATTTAATAGAAGTACAGTTTCACAGTTAGACCACAGGACCTCAGGTAACTTTTAAAGTAATTAATACTAAATTTAATTAATATTAAACTTTATATTATATAGTGCCTTTTATCCATATAAATCCCAAAGCATTTTAACAACTATTCAAAGTAGTATGTACAACTAGTGATTTCTTTATCACACACTGAAACGAAAGCACTTGTGCTGAAATGACGATGCCATTTAGTGCTAATAACACTAGGTTTTTTGGAGTGGAAATAAATTAATAATTGACACCAACGAGGAATCTAGCAAAGCAGAAAATTTTAATTCTTTCTGGAATGCAGTGCTAACATGGATAACCATGCATTTTTTGTCAAGTGTCATTTAATCTCATATGTTTCCACATTCAAATCCTATTTTTCATATTGTATCCAATAAAAAATGCAGTCAAACACTACAAGGCCTGTCTAAATATATTCAAGAGAATAGCAATGGACAATAAATACAAACAGAATGAGTCCAATTCAGAGGTCACAAGTCAGTCCCCATAGCTATCTTTAAATCTTTAAAAGTTCCATTCTTTCTTGAAATAAACGATTTAAACATTGCCAAAAGCTTACTGCTTGCCCCATGTGTACTTTGAACATTTTAAATGATGGAACATACAAAATACTGTGTAGTATGTATGGTCTTCCAAATTTAAAAAATTAAGTACTATAGGTATAAAACCATATACTGAAACATTTCCTTCCTCATTAAAATGAAGTACTTTTTCATTAGAGGAAAATTAAAGTCTAGCTGTACATGCAACTGCAGCACTCAGACATATTAATCTCAGATAAAGATTTCACAGTTTGGAAATCGATGCATGTCCTTGGGAGAGAGACTATCTTACTCTGCTATATTAGGAGAAATACTAAAAAATACCAAGAATTCTCAAAATCACAGAGGCTTAGGCATGTTATTTCAAAGGACAAAGATCATAAGATATTCCCATCACAAGAACTTAGAGAAGACCACTTCAGTTGAAGATATATTAATGGTAAACCAAAATGAATGGTTTGTGAACACTACCTAAATGGCCAAACACTTATTTCAGCACAGGAGCTTTATTAAGATATTGCTGCTACAACCTGTGTCATATTGCAAATTAGATTTTGAAATCTCCTGTTTGCATGCATATCAGATAACTAAATCAAAGTTGGCTTACAAAATTAAAATACAAAAAATTAGTTCAGATTTTATAACCTGTTGTTGCAGATTCTCATGCATTCAAATGTAACAAGAAACTGGGCACTATGAGATAACCAAAAAATTTAGCCCTTACATTTGGCAGAGCTGCCAACAAAAGAATCAGGTTTTTTGGGTTTGATCTCTGCCTATTTCTCTCTGGAAAAATATGAAACAAAAAATTCATATCTGGATTTTTACATTATTAATTGTTTGTGCACAGATGTCTCCCATCTTACCATTTCCACAAGTTGTAGTACATGTCAAAACTAGAGGAAAGGACCAGTTCTACACTGACTAATAAAGTAATCCTGTAAAAATTAGATTAGCTTCCTTTTTTTCCCTTCTCATGAGCTGTATAGTTATGTGTGGGAAAGAAGTATTCAGTTATAAATGTTCCCTTAGGTTCTGACATTTAATGAATGAATGAATTAATTAATTAATTAATGTAGCCTGTAAAATACTTCTAATGTTATGATCACCTTCTTTTTAGCAAAATCAGTGATGAGGGAAAGTGCAGCCTTCTAATCACAAGTCAGACTGCACTAGCACAGGCGATGCACAAATTAAACTGTCATTCTTATTTTCAAAATAATCAACTCTTCAAAGAAGGGTTATTTAAGGGGTAAAGCGTCAGACTGCAATTTTAGAGGCTACAGATTTCATATGTGATCCAAGACAGTGGTCTGAGTTTTTCCACAGCCAAACTTGTCATCATTAAAAAAGATGAATCAAACATTTCTTTTACTTTCTTTTCTACTTAGGTTTATTAATCTTGTGTCTTTTTTTTTAGTTTACTTAAGAGGGTTCTAGTCTTGAGAGGTCAAAAAGTATTATCATCATTAAGATTTAAAAATATGGATCTCTGAAGAAGTTATGTTTTATGTCATAAGTCCTCTTTCTTAGATGTCTACATTAATCTACCATTTTTGCAAACACTGTTCTCTCATTCTAGGAAGTTCTCATATAAAGTACCACAGTCACCTTAAGCGCAAAATGCCATATAATAATGGGGATAAATTCTGTAATGCTAAGACGAAGCAGCAATCAGTAAGTTCACTGAACTGTACTGCAACATACCTGCTACAGTCATAAAGGAAAAATGTATGACATCAGTACATTAAAAAAACTTCTACAATGAAATCAACCTCAGTTGGAGTTTTTAGAATCATACCAGCATTCAGACTATGCAAAGTAAATATTGTTGCAATATGTGGTAGTTATTCCAAGCAAGTATTCTCAGCATTTTTTCTTTTAAGTATTTTTCATTAAAGATCAATGAAACAATAACTTTATAGTGTTTATATAACAAAAAACTCTTGCAAAAGCAGCAAAACTGATGTTGGTATAGCATTTGCTTACCCAAGCTATTTAGATTAGTGAATTCTCTACTATTCGTGTGCCACACAATCTGATGTCTATTCTTATTGTTTTCTAGCAAGTACTAGCATGTTCCAAATAAAACTAACAAATTGTAGATTTAAAAAAAAGCTAAAGAGCATTTTTCTCATACAATTCACTTAAGACATGGAACCTTGTGACACATGAGACTTCATAATAAAAATCTGGCAGGGTCAAAAAAGGCATCTGGGCAAATTCATGCAAAGAAAAAGTACAGCAAAAGTCATTAGTTGATAGTAGTCTGAAACACATACTAATGAAGACTAGGAGATTTTTTTTTTAAAGTATCATTATTGACTTGGTTTATCTTTTACTCATCTCTATATATTTTGCTATTGGCCATTACTTGATCTTGACATTTAATGACTTACCATGTTTATTAGTCTTGCTATTTGTTCATAACTTTCAGTGTTTGGGATATATATTCTCTTACCAAATATGAAACAAAACTGCCCTTTACAATTGCTGATTTATGATCCTGTCACCCAGCAGCGTATCATTCTTTAAATATTTGGTCTCATTTTCATACAGAGGGCCTCTAGATTGATCAGAGATTTTCTGAAGATCTTTCTCTATACAACGAATTCTATTTTTCTGTTGACCCTGAGATTAGCTCAGTTGGTTAGAGCACAGTGCTAATAATGGCATAGATTGCAGGTTTGATCCCTTTATGGGCCATTCGGTTAAGAGTTGGACTAGATTATCCTTGTGGGTCCCTTCCAAATCTGAATATCCTGGGATTACTCACTATCATGATAGGTTTTAAAGCTTCTGAAATGTCAACTTTTTGTCTCCCCTACTACACAGTTTCAAGTTCCTCTCCTCTATAATTTTTCCATTTCAATATCATGAAGCAGTTCCTTGCCTCAATACTCATATTTATTAACAGTCCTTAAATTGATTAGTTCTTGCCTCTCAAAATGTAACTGTTGAAATAGTCCTCCTTGAGAAAGAGAGAACAAGTATTTGTTTTGACAGTTTATATTTTGCAATCAAGTGCTTCTTCCCCTGTGCTCAGGTGTACATGGTCAGCCAGCAAGAACACAGAACTACTTAAATATTTAATATGCATTAAGTGTCTTCCTTGTCAATGATTTATGATATATCTTTTTGGTGATACAGATACAAAGGAAGAAAACCCACAAAGTTCTAAAATAGAATTAACTGTATTGTAGTAGAGCATTTTCAGTGCTCACTTTTTACAATACACTTTTTATATTTACATTCCTCATCCAAGCACAAAAATAAGGCAAAAAAGAACCCTACAGATTTTGGATATAGAAACACTTCATTTGAATTTTTCAGAATCAGTAAAAACACGCTTGTCTTTGCATATTTGCATATATTTATTCTGAATTTGTTTTGCACTACCATTTGGGGGTTTTGAGTGTTTTTCTGGTTTTTTTTCTTTCCTTTTGATTTGTTTGTTGTTGTTCTTATTTGTTGAGGGGTTTGTTGGCTGGATTTTTGTTGGGTTTTTTTGTTCTGTTTTTACACATAACACAACATATTTATGCAATAAGAAGAAAAAAAAGAAAGGACTGATAACTTATGGTAAGCACTTCAAAGACAATTTAGTACTTAATCATAGAATCATGAATGATTTGGGTTGGAAGGAACCTTAAAGGTCACCTAGTTCCAACTCCCCCTGCCATGGGCAGGGACACCTTCCACTAGACCAGCTTGCTCAGGGCCTCATCCAAGTTGGTGTCGAACACTTCCAGGGAAAAACTTCTGTGGGAATTGTAGCTGACAATGCTGTGTAAGGGCATGTTTTCTAATCTTTAAATATATATGTATGATGATACATGCCACATTCAAAAGTCAGGCTATAGTTTATGAGAACTTTTGTATTCTACTTATTTGAATTTCGGTAGGTTATGACATCAACAACCACCAATCAGATTCACTATAGGAAAACAGAAAGCTCTTCACAAAGTGAAAGCTGTCATCAGAGAAATGCTTATTTATTTTCACTGTGGAAATACACTCAGAAAGAATATACTAATTTATCTCCAAGGACTTCCAAAATATACATCTTATGTGGAGAGGTTTATATGTGGTGGTGTTAAGGAGGATTTGGAGCAGCAATTCTCACCTCAGCAATCATTCTGTTGGTGTCTCCCAAGAAGAGTAGGTTTAAGGCTTCCTCTTCATTGGTTGCTTGCTGAAGAGACAAGTTTTTCAGATGAATGTTTTGATCAGAGTCTTCCATTATTGTCACTTTTCTACATGGAAAATAAAAAACAACCACCAAATGAAAACTATAGTTTTAAAGCAATATTTGTTCCATACTTTCATTTTGATTGCATGCACCTAAAAGGTGAAATCTAAACCAATCATAATGAAAGAATTAAAGACGTGAAAATAAATGATACCCATTAAAGGAAGTGTTGATTTTTTTTTAATCTGTCACCTTCTTTTCATTCCTTTATTACAAACCTTCACACAGAAAAGGAATATATGAAATCTATTACTATTAGAGAAAGCTTTGGGATTTTTATTTTAATGAGTTATAGTAAACTCTCGAGAGCAAGAGGTTAGATGAATCATCACAAACATGGGGGTTTGTTTTCTATTACCAAGCACAGATGATACATAAAACATACCATAATCTTGATGTACAAATAGGTATGGAATATTTCAGAATGAACACATATGTAGTCAACATGTTTCTAATAACTTTGCAGTTGTAAAGACTATTTCTCTTTTCATTCTTATTAAATGGTAGTAACTACAACTGTAAATTATCCCTTTCTTAAATTAAAAGCAAGAAAACAGAATGATTTTATTTATTTCCACTGACGTCAGAAAGACTCTTATCTGTACTTCTATAAGCAGTAAAGTTTACAGAAAGGAAGTTAGATGCAAGTAGCAAGGATACGGCAAAAGCTCCAGGAGAGCTGCTAAATATTACTGAAAACCCTTTTCATTTATTCAAATAGTCCTTTAACATAAGAACTTTTTTCTTTTGAAATGGTTACTGAGAGTTAAACTTTATTGGCATTACTGAGTAGCCATTAGGATCTCCTCATTTGGAACATTTTTTAGTATCCAACATGGAAGCCAAGTAGTTGCCTCACTGGATTTGGAAAACTCCCAGAGTGAAGAATCTGTTAAAATGGAAGTACACTAAATTTGAGGATGAATAACCTATGTTTCAGGGTGAATTACATGTTCTGAGACAATTTAAAACAAGTATATTAGAAGTTTTTTAGAAGTTAGAGGGTTTTTTCTAAAAAAACCTATTTTTTTCTGTGTAAGTATAGATAATACTTTATATCTATACATATACATCTATATGTATACATATATGTATATACATATTTTTTCACGTTCTTCAGGGTTAACCACAAGAGGGAGTATGGGGCTTGAGTTTCTATCAGTAGATAGAACTCTTGCATGTTAATTACTTCAAGTTGCTTCAAAACCAGAAAGATACGGTTTTGTTCTGTTTTGTCTTTTTTTTTCTTCCCCAAAACTCACAGAATCAAATCAAGCATCTAAGCAGCATTCCATAGCATTGCACTTAGATACTGGGGAAGTAGTCCAGAGTCTGATGGTCAAAACATTTGAATGGATATACAGAAAAAATTTTAACAATTGCAATACACTCACTATTTTCAAGAATAAACACATGTAAAAGTACACACAATGCTTCTTTAGTATTCATAACAATTGCTTTTCCACGTATGATAGCCTTATTTTTGTGTGGTAGTGTAAGACATTATTAATATAGTCACAAAACTCAGCTTCCCCATTCAAAGCATAAACCCAAAGCATAATTCTGCTCTTGCTTAATGAATTTTTGATAATGTCAAGTTGTATTCTATCTGCAATTCCACCTGTGCATGCATGACACAGTAAAGCCCAGAGTGTTTCTGATTGTAGCATGATGCTCTGACTAATTTTAATATTTGAAATTGCATGGTAAGCATCATCTATCTATTTTTATAATTTAGGAAAACAATATTGTTTTATTATGCACATTTGGCATAGTATTTAAACTTTTAAGGATCTTTTCAGTCTACACTTTGATCAATGATCATTCCAGCTCTGAATATTCTGTGATTCTGTGAAATAATTTCCAGAGAAGTAAGATGTTAATTTGGATGTATAGTTCTGGAGGACTAATATATCAGAAAGGAGACAGTGCAGACCTCACAAAACAGTGACAGCCTCCTACACAGTGGCCTTGCAACTATTAGGAAGATTTCCAAATGGAAGCCTACATTTGTACATGTAGAGAGGCATCTATCAAAACTTCCTCAGAATGGTACGTTCCAAAATGACAACAAAATTATTTTTTACCATGCTATAAAGTTACTATATAGTATGATAATAATTTCTAGAGTACATTCACTATATTAGTAAAATCTTTACATTTCATGTAAAGATTTACATTTACATTCCACCTAACTTGGGTGGAAAAATTCTGTTAAGTTATCCATAATGACTGAAAGAAGGCAGAGACAAGGTTTTGTATTCTTTATAAACAAAGGATCTTTTCCATTTGGCTTAAAGGATGGAATTAGTAACTGGCTAGGAAGCCTGTAGGATGGGATCAGGCTTTCTTATTAGCTCCAGCCCTTTCCTGCATCAGCTCAGCTGCCATTAATGCTGGAGAGCCTTGCACACTGAATGCTTTAATTTATGAAATTCTTGTTACTGGCAAACAATGAACTTAAAGCTTCCTTTGATTAATTAACACCATCTCATACGTTATATAAATAATAAAAAAACCCCTTAAAATATTTTGGAAAAAATTACTATTTTAAAAAACAAGTTTCCTATTATTATATCTGTCTAGGGCTCAGAATTGAAGAAATCTAGAACAATATTAAAAACTTTATAAACAATTAAAAATTAATCATGATACAAATAAATAATATATGAGGATACACACCTTCTATGATAATACATGAGGAGATTATAGTGATACTACTTCAATGTGAGGAGGAGAGTATACAGCCAATAATAAATTTAGAAAAAAGATAAAAGAGAAAAGCAGCAAGCATGCATCTTGGAGTCTGTCTAGAAGAACAGAATAAATTAATGGATAAGTACAGCTAATGACTTGTAAAATTGCAAGGAGCTTTAGGTTTTAAGAAAGAATGATCAAGATAATAATTTTATAGATCACCCCAAAGAAATGATCTTTCAGAAGTACAACTCCCTGAATACCACAACAGAGGACAAAGTCAACACTTATTCAAGAGGCAAGGCTACACAGTTATTCAGCTACCAACACAACTTTCAACAACACACAGATATGATTTTCCATTGAAGTATAGACCTAGAGCATAATCTCCTTGGCATGTGAGACATGGCAGAACTATGAGATGAGAAAGCATTCATGCAGACTGTTTGCTTGACACGTCATATTGTGACAGGAAGTCTTTCCCACTGTCTCCAATGGATTCTGTTGTGAGACAACAAAAACGCACTTTGGTTGTCCTGCATGTAACAGACATGACTGGGAGACTTACACATTTAGGAGAGAGTGATTCACACAACAGTGACCCTGAGCAGGCACAGCCTGTGATGTGCTGCACACACAGAGGGGCATTCAGGCATGTGTCGCACTGCACAGATCCCTTGGCTGCACAATAAATACACTCTCATAAGAATACCTTTTAGAATGGAACTGTTTTCTTGTAAGCAAATTTTATAATCGCTCAAAAGGCCAAAAGGGAGAGTTTCTCTCCATGGACTGGAACTGTACTGCTCTGTGCAGTGCACTGTGGAGAAATCCATTCAGGCCCTGTCCAATGCTGCACAAATGCAGGGCACCCAGCACCTGATAGGATGTAATTTACTTGCAACCTATATTCCTCTTCTTATTCTGTCTAATTAAAGCAGTTACATTAGTAAGCCATTTGTTGTCAGGGCTTTCTTACTGAGATCTGGAAAGAGCTGTGCACTGTCTCTCCCCCTGACCCCACCATGCTGATCAAGGAGTCCAAACTGAAACAATGAGATTGGTGGTTTGCGTAACAAAAAAAACATATAAAATATGTTAGAATTTGCAGACAACTGCAATAATCTCATTTCCCAAAAAAAAAAAAAAGTTTGTTTAATAGGCTTTGACGTTCACAAGCAAAGTTGCCTTGAATTAATTTATTCATCAAATGCTTTTACAAAAGTCACCTTAGAAAAATTTCACTGATTTCCTACTGATTTTCAGGAAACAAATCAACATAAAATCTGGATGTGAATAAACAATATATAATATATGCTGAAGTTATTGTATACATTTAAAGTGCAATGTGTTTGAACTGTAATGAAAAAAATCATAATCTTCGAAGAAATGATTCAGAACAGTTTTCAGCTGTCTCCCCATTAACAAACAGAAAGCTTAACCTTACAAAAATATATTTCCTATATGTTGAAAATTATTCCTTTAGCCTTTTTTATTTTTATCCTTCTCTGTTAATAGCATAGGAATTATTATTCTAGTTGTTTTAGTTTTCCATTTCAGTAGTTTGGTATCTCTTAAAGTCCTTGGAGAGCAGTAGAGAATAGAAGAGTACAAACCCATTTGAGGTAGTTAACCAATATCCAGTTACAGATTTTTTTTTAGTGAAAATATTTCACACTGATCCCATGAAACATAACAGTTCTAATATATGTTACTAATACATATTAATACAGTCATCATTGTTGATGTTTGAAGTTAACTGGCTCTTAGCTTCAAGTGTGGTTTTCTTTTTTAAAGTCTGACAGCATCACACCTAAACTTCCACATCTCCCTCTCAAAGAGGACTTTATAGAAAAATTGGGGAATCACTTATGCTGGCTTGAAGTTCAGATTGCATTTTCCCTTGGCTATACAGAATCATAGAATCATAGAATCAACCGTGTTGGAAAAGACCTCCAAGATCATCAAGTCCAGCCCTTGATCCAACACCGCCATGGTTACTAGAGCCTGGCACTAAGTGCCACAAATCACTCCTGATTAATGGTTGTCTAGGCTCCCTGAGAAGTAGCTCCTCAACTACTGCAGTTTAAAGGCTAACATTCTAAGGCAAACCAGCATTAATTTTAGTTTGCCTTCACATGCAAGAGGGTCACTTGCTGTAGGACAAGTAAAGAGGTAACATCAGTTGTCTATGACTTAATCAAGTCATTCTTGACTAATGGTTCTATAACCTCCTTCTCTACTTTTTTGTAATTATTCAGTGCCAAGAAAATTCTTACTTCTTAATAAATAACATGAACTAGTTAGGAAGAGTACTGGTAGGTTGTAACTAAAGTGAAATTTGTTAGATTCAGTAACATTGAGTTATATAAACTACAAATACACTACAACAGAGAATCTGTTGGAGATGAAAAGCTTTTACACAAATTCAGAGCTTCAGAAAAATATTCCTAATTTGAACAGTCCTGCAAAACTATTTTGAAAACATGAGGTGGCAGTAAGTATTTAAATAGTCTTCTACCAGCTGTATTTTATAGCAACAATTTTATACTTTTTACATGTTTGAAAACAATCATAATTTCCTTGCATAAACATGGAACTCTCTACAGCTACAAACAGAATTAGATTGTCAATATTAAATTCAGTTTTTGCATTCTAACAAGTAAGATTCTTCAAATGTTTTTTGCATCTGCATATGCTGGGTTTCAGCTAAAGTGTCACAAAATTAAAACACTGTCAGTTTTGTACAAGCAAAACAAGTTACAATTGTAAACTAAGACATTTTGGATGAAGCATTAAGGTATATCAAAGGATATCTTCTATGGGCTACATGTAATATCATTACATCAAGGAAAATGTTTTCTCTCCATTAAATGTTTAATGTGCAGATATATAAACTACATTTATGCATTTTTCAGGAATTTTTTTCCAGAAAACCAGGGATTTTTTTTGTGAGCGTTTCTTCCCTTCTCACCTGGTAGACTCTAATGAAATGATTAAACAATGTTAAAGATGAAAATCTCATAGTCTACAGAAAACACTAAGTATGGCTACACACAAAACCTTGACTTCAGGAGCTGAGATTCCAAATCTAATCATGCAATGATTAAATACAATGGACAATTTTTAAAAAGTTTATTATTCACTTTGTCTTAAACATCAAATACAATTTTATGCCTCATTTTTCAAGTATTAGCAACAAGCCTGTAGTGTGCTTTTCATAACTTCTATTACCTGAGTGCAATCTGTGTTTATTCTTTTCATTGAACTGGTAACATTAACCTATTAACATAGAGTTTGCTAGACAGAAGTACATATTTTTGATTCAAATTCCATCCCCTTCTTTTGCAGGAATATGGATTAAAAAATAGTCTTCCAAAACAATCTGCATACTTTGAGATTAACTAATCTTTTTGCTTACTCTTCTAAAATGACACATTTCTTAAACACTCTTCTTGTCCATCTTAAATACTTGGGAAAGTATCAGGACTGACTGCCAATATTTACCTATGCACATTGGGTAAATACCCTGCCTTTGGCTTTGTATGGTGCTTAAAGCCTAGATGATCAGCTGTGGAGTTCAACAGAAAATTATGCACAACGTGACCCTTTTACAGTACAAAAAACATTAGTTCCTTTTTAATATTCTCATTAAATATAGGCTTTCAAACAAACTTGAGAAAGTTAGGTTATTTAGTATTTTGCTACAAGGTTTTAAGCACAAAAAATTCTCAGAAATATTAAATACATATTAGGTAATAAACACTTGATAAATTTTAAAATATGTGATTACTACTTACATGTAACTTCCACTTTGTCATTTGTGAAAATTATTTGAGTAATTAAAATAATTAATCATGCAACTACCCATTCCTGCAATTCATAATCCCTTTCCAGCTCAGAATGACACTATATTTTTTTAAAATTTGAATCATCAAACTATCAAACTACAATATTAAAAAGTAAACAAAAAATATTGTATGAATTAAATAGTTTTACACATGTGGTGGTGCATACCCCGCTTCCTGCCCCCGACTGCATTATGAGTTAAATATGACTGGTGAAGGTATAGCTTTAGTGTACAGAACACATTTAATTGACAAATGACATAGTGGAAATAATAATGTCCACATACAATAAAACCTTAATGCACTTTTTAAGATTACTCTGCACAGAAAAATTTACTATCTCACTAAAACCCATCCTGCAATAGTATACACTATGTAAATTTACAGATAATTATGATTATCCCAGTGTGCTTTATCCTTAATTTATAACCAAATTATCTACATTTACTTTTTAAAATAGCCTAATACATAACAAGGAGTTACTTTTAAGCTTAATTGAATCATCATACATAAACCAATTTGGAGACTCTAAAATTCATAATTATTAGCAGATAGTCAGTACTTAGTTTCAAAATGTGAGATATTTTCCAGGGTATACAACCCCCAAATATCTGTTTCAAAGTTTCAATTAAATTAATCAAATTAAGTTTGATTGAATAAATTCATAAATTTATAAAATGTCAAATGAAATTACTTCAAATATTTCAAATAACTTAATAAATCATATTAATAATGTCATATTAATAATGTACTAAACTTGAATAACTTAATAGCATTAATTTTAATAAGCTGAATAAAGTGTAACAGACTTTTTTTACATAAAACCTTGAAAAAATCTGCACTGTAAAAATAGGCACAAAAATTAAATTATTACCTGAATTAGCCTCTGATGTAAATTTTTTGTCTGCATAGCACAGAAAGCAGACAATAACTTAAATTATAATTCTAAACTTTGCCATGAAAGATATTGGTAAATATAAACAGTCTTTATAGCACCGATGTGTCATAAGGTGCTAAAATTTACTTCCATTTTACAGGTGAAGAAAGCAAAACAATGAGACCAATTGTCTCATACTCTGCATTTGTCTGCTGTCTTTCTAATCTCTAGACTAGTTCATTTTATAAAGATCAATCTTGAAAATTTTTTGTAAGTATGTCCTAGATACCCCGTATTGTGTAGAAAACTAAAGCTCTATTCAAACACAATAAAATATTGTGTTGGAAGACTTTTTTAATAAATAAAATTCTTTTAATAGTATGTAAATAACATTTCAATATAAATTTCAATATAAAATTCTATTAATTTTCAGTTATTTCCTTGTTACAAGTTTTCAGTTCATTTCCTGCTCTTATATCAGCATTATTATTTAATTGCTATTTACATATTTCTGTTACCATTATGTTGAGTGATAAAGTTTATGGTGCCCAGCATTATTTCAAAGCATTTGCAAATCCAGTCAACAACTCATTTATTCATACATATTTACTGTTTGCTTAGTTATTTAAAGAATAGCAAAGACTATAAACTATTATTTCAGACTTGGAAACTAGGATTTGGATTTCCTACAAATTAGAAATTTTTAATTTCAGCAGGCTGGAGTGTTCATGACCTACAAACCTTTATTTACTACCCTTCTCCAAGTATTAGTAAATGCTGGTGTTTGACCATGAAAACTATTATAATAATCATCCATTCTGAAGTAAATATCCTGTTCTTTGGAGTTCCTTGTGGCCTATTTTCTAGCTGTTGGTTACCTTATTTCCTCAAAGCATATTCTAGAAAAATATATAATTATCCTTGAAGGAAAAGGCCCAAGTAGAAGCAGGGAGCTTTTCTCACTACTGTTGCAAGGAAATAATGCTTGTTACATATGTCTCTGCCCCATTCAGTCATGTATACCATACAGAGACAGACTGTCATGAGAAAAACAAGTACCTTCCCTTGTTTTCAGTGGCTGCAAGAGATCTCCTTTGCAAAATACACTTTTTATACTTTCATCTTCAGTTACTCCCATCGAGTCTCCCCAGCCTCTATACATACAAAACTACAGAAAATTAAAGCAGTGTTGATAAAATTGAGAAAACAAAGTATATTGATTAAATTAACACTGAGATCAGTAACACAGCTGCAAAAAAGTCCCAAACAATGCAACAGGGTATACGAAAATGATTCCTGTTGGTTTTGATGATTCTCTTAAGTAGTCCTATTACTTACGGCAAATCTTCCAATCTGGAGGCCTCATGCCTTGGGTCCAGAAGATCATAACCACATTCATTGTAGATTTCTAAGTAGGAAACATGAGTTGTATACACTTTACTGCTGTCCTGGACAAGAAAAGGAAAAAAAAAATAGAAAAAAAGGAAGTGCTATAAAGAGAAGTCAGAGTTAGATTAGATAACATATTTATCGCTACTGCTTTTATGTTAATTTCTCACTCTGTCTCTTTTTCTTTTCCTGGGTATGGTGTACATTATCAATTTGTTATACTTTCATATTTTCTGTTACCATATGTATAAAGGCTTAAAAAAACCAGAAAAAAAAACAATAAAAACCCCCAACTAAAACAGACACACACACACACACACACACATAAAACCCACTAAAATAAAAATCCCCCCCAAAACTCCACCATGCCCATGAGTTTAGTCTGGGATTTTTAACTGATTCCTTATACCTAGAAAAGTCTGTGTACATTTAGAACATGGGAGCCTGCTTACAGAACAATGCAACATGACATTTTTCACATCTACACCAAGAAAAGAATGTTATTACAAGAAGGTAAACCCTCATATTATGGATAGAAAAACTATGCTTAATAAAAAAAAAACAAGCAAGGAACAACGAACATAAGATTTACTCCATTTAGAAACATCAGAGACATACTGCTTTTCACTCTCTTTATTATAACATTTAAACAGTGTATATGATGTCGCTGTTCTCTGCAATCACAATTTTTTTGGTATATTACATTGCCAAAATGTAATTTAACACAACTGGGTTTTGCAGATAGAAGTTTCTCCTGCCCCAAACCTCAAAATAGTGGGCTATGATTTCCAAAATAAAATAAAAAAAAAAACAAAAAAGTCACTTCTTTTCACGAGATGAAGCCACTGTGAAAGCACTCATATCACAGTAGAAGTTTAATAATCCAATCCACTACTGTTGTCTTGCAAAATACTTCAAGATATAACTTTTCATTTTCATTGAATAGTTACTTCCTGTGGGTTTTTATTTTATTGATAATGACAGTTCACTATTTCAAGGGATATGACTTAAAAAGATACACTACAGATGGATGGAAAAAACGAAGTAAGAAACTGTTCAAACAGGAAACTGTGGAAATAGGAGAATTTCTAAATTAAAAGGAGATGTTATTAAAAACAAAGGGCTTGATTTGCTTCTCATTTAGGGTAAAAAGCTTTGTTTCCTTGGTTTCAAATTGCACTGTCTTTGTGCAACTCAGAGCTTCACAAGTTTTGCATTTTGTGTCCCTGATTTCACTGTCTCCTGTTTCATACTACTTAGGGTTAGAAGGCAGATGTCTTGTCTACTATGTCAGCACCTTCCAAAGTACAGTTGTAGATATAAGGAAACAGATGAAAGATATGAAAAGAAAAGCAAGTGGAAAGATAAAACACCAAGAAGAGATTCTTTGCAATGCACCAAGAAAGAAACACAATGATTTGGAGGCAGGAAAACAGAAATATCCCTATAAGCATAATCAGGTACAGCTTCTGATTCAAAACCCAGTCTGAAGAGGGAAACTTTTTTATTTCTGTAGAAACTATGTGCTGAGAAGATGACAAATAAACTAGTTAGTTTTCATCCTCTTTTGTTTTTATGACATAATTAGCATTAGAAAAGAATGTTGGTGTGTTGACACTGTTCATTGCCGGCAATTGCACAATCAACCTGTTCACTTTTCACCACAAAAGTCCTCCATGGGGTCATGTGAATGCAGCAGAAGATCTAAGGCAACATGATCACGTGGCGGTTTATTTCATTTCCACTCCCACAATAGCAAGCTTTTGTGCACCTGCAATATTATGTGTACTTTTATGTGCCAAAGTCATACTTCCAAAGAGCCAAAGTAATTACTTACTATAGTTAACCCTTTCTGAGACAGGGCATGTTAATGTGACTGAGACATATACCCTTATGAATATGAATTGGTATCTTCTCTTACATGAATGACAGAGTATAAAAGTAAAATGTAACGACTGATGTTGATGCTAAATAATATTTAAATTGGTTTAATTAAATAGCTTTGTTAAAATATGAAGATTAATCTTTAGGAATCATAGGCCTGGTGGAGTAAATGAAGAGACAAAACATAAATTACACAAAACTCCTCTCTTCACTTTTGCCTCCTGTAGTTATGAAAGCACCAGAATGACTGACACTCACGTCAGTATTTCAGACACTAAAGGAAAATGAAATTTCTTGCAAACGTAATAAACATAATGAACAATCAGTGTGCTTATCTGGCACATCCTTTCACTTATTCACTCATTTCATTGCTTAGAATATCAAAATGAAATGCAATGCATACAATACAAAACCAGAGTGGAGCTGATGTAAGTGTTAAGAGAACGATAACTAATTATGAAATCTGAACGTATGCTGCAGCAATCAAAAATAGCATGGCTCTTAAACCTACAAAAAACCCCCTCCATTGATGTCCATTATTTTCAGTCTATTGCCATAAGCCAGGTAACCAAAACTATTACAAATGTATTCTTGCATACAGTATTGTGTCAAGTTAGATATTTTCTTCAGCATTAATTTTAGGGCTTCCTCTAAGACTATTACAAAAACAGCCTCTTGCAACAGTTAAGTATTTGTAAACTGGACACTAAAAATAAACAGAAAACAATGTTCCATACCTTCTGCAGTTGATCAAAAATATAAGATAGAGTCCTGGGAATAATGCCTCGATCACTGTAACGTTCTGCTCCTCCTGTGATGGTAAAAGTTTTGCCACTGCCTGTCTGACCATATGCAAAGATAGTACCATTATATCCAGCCAAAACACTATACAATCAAGAAAAGAGAAGATAGTTATTGAGTCAGAACGTATTTTTCACAGTCAACTTTGTATAGAACCAAAATACAATTAACAGCAATTCTTAATTATGTAGCAGCTGTCTTTGGTAATAAAGAATACACTTCAAGATATGTATTCTAGAACCTATAGAATTTAAATTCTCTAGATCTGAAGGACCTTCTGAGGCCTTGACTTACCCCATCATTCAATATCATCATTAGTTGATCATACTTATTACTATATATACTACCTTTTCATAGTTTTTTCTTTGGTTGATGATTTTTTGCAAGGATGATATTTAGTCTCTTTAAAGTCTGCAGAGATCAGGAATACACAACAGCTCAAGAATCTAGAAATATTTCACATGTGACTTCAATTAATACAAACAGAGAAAACTATATTGTGGTTAGAAACTCATGTAAGGATCTGAGAATAATACTAAACTATCAGACTACTCTTGCATGAGGGTGTGCAAGAGAACCTGTGCTTAAATCAGTGTAGCAAAGTCTTCATTTACTGTGAAAACACACAAAACCTCCTTGGTAGTTGCAAAGCTTTCTGTTACAATTGTGACTGTACAAGAAGCTTCTGTGGAACAGCCATAACAGCTATGCAATGCCATTCAGACTCATCATGTTTTTCCACACCTCTTACTTCTATTTGCAGAAGTGCCTAATAAAAGCCTAGTTCAAACATCTTTCTCTAATTCACCACACTCTCACCATTGACTTCCATCTGATTTCCACCAACACAGTAGATAAGCTTAATGAACTTAAATTTTGGATTTGATTTACTGTGCTTAAAGACCTACTACTTCTGTTAAACAAAATGAAAAGCTACAATTTTTCTTGTGCATTTTGTTTATTGAAAAAGTGATAAATAAGCTAAGATTTTAATAAATAGAAAGAGGGCAAACAACCCTTGCATAAGAGGAAAAGCAACATACATATAGATAGCTGCTGGTCTGGCGCCACAAGAGATGCAATGATTCTCCAACTTACTAAAGTTTATTTAAAGGCCTGAGTAGTTGCCAATTTGCTTATTTTAATCCATTACAGTAGGATGTCAGAGACAAAAGCAGAAACATGTTGAAAGGAATTACAGTGAACATCTGCTCCCAAAAACCAAAACGCCCAGAGTTTATACAGATTTTAGATTCCAGATGTTAAAAATCAAAATAATTATTATTAAAAAACACCTCATTTATCTACCTTAGTAATTTCTAGTGTCCACTGTCACAGTATCTGAATGCTGAAGACAGTAATGAGTAGTCAAAAGGTAGGGGGTATCAACAGAAGTTCAGATACAGCAGATTCAAAACAAGCAAGGGGAAATGATTCTTCATGCAGAATGTAGTTAAGCTGTTCAACTCTTTGCCATGCCATGTTTTGGATGTTAAAATTTCACACAGGCTTCAGCAGAGATTGGATTAAATCACAGGAAAAATTTTCTCTCAGGGCTACTAAACACTAGAAAACAGAAAGTCCCTAAACTACAAACCATAGAATCAGCTGGGTTGGAAAGGACCTCTGAGATTATCAAGTCCAACCCTTGATCCAATACCACTGTGGTTACAGACCATGGCACTAAGTACCACATCCAGTCTTATCTTAAAAACCTCCAGGGACGGAGAATCCACCACTTCCCTGGGCAGCCCATTCCAATGGCTGATTACCCTCTCTGGAAAGAATTTCTTCCTAATATCCAACCTAAACCTCCCCTGGCACAGCTTAAGACCATGCCCTCTTGTCTTGCTGATAGTTGCCTGGGAGAAGAGAGCGACCCCCACCTGGCTACAAACTCCTTTCAGGGAGTTGTAGACAGTGATGAGGTCTCCCCTGAGCCTCCTCTTCTCCAGGCTGAACAACCCCAGCTCCCTCAGCCTCTCCTCATAAGACTTGTGCTCGAGTCCCTTCACCAGCCTTGTTGCTCTTCTCTGGACCTGCTCCAGCATCTCAATATCCTTCCTGAACTGAGGGGCCCAAGACTGGACACAGTACTTTAGGTGTGGCCTCACCAGTGCTGAGTAAAGGGAAGAATCACTTCCCTGGACCTGTTGGCCACACTGTTCCTGATCCAGGCCAGAATGCCATTGGCCTTCTTGGCCACCTGGGCACACTGCTGGCTCATGTTCAGCTTCCTGTCAATCCAAACTCCCAGGTCCCTTTCTGCCTGGCTGCTCTCCAGCCACTCTGTCCCTGATGACTAAAGACTAACAGGATACATGAGGAAGCATGGTGGTAAGACGGTTAAAAAAAATAAATCCTTAGAGTCCAGAGGAAAAAAAAGAGTTAATAAGAATTGGTCATTACATATAAGGACTTAGTCAATAACACTGAGGAAGAATAAGATATGCTGTAGCACTGTAGCTGCAACTATCATACTCCAGAAATGTAGGAAAAACAGGTATTCAGAGAGAGGGAGCATCTTGTATTAAACTCACCAGTAACTGGGAAAAAAGAAGACGGGGCTCAGGGCTTCAGTGGATTATTGCGCTTTTTTTGGCGACATTACAAAAACCCCGCCTCTTCCCTTACAATCTCACTAAGCAGAAGCTGCTAGTACAACTTTGTATCAATTATCAGGCATAGGACAATTCTTTCTAGTACGGACTCATATATGAATGTAAAATTTTCCTCTCAAATTTCCTTATTCGCTTATCAATTAACTTGCATGTTCTAACTTACTCCTAATTAGTAGTGATTTAAAAACATGCACAGTAAGATATGTGCTTTTCATTTGAAAGCTCATTTTAGACCCCTATTTAAATGAATGGTTGTTACAGAGTTATGTACTGGCATTTCCAGTCACTCCACTACCTTGTCTCATGCCTGAAAGATGTCTAATTCCTAAATATAGGGTTTGATACAGAAGTATAACTCACGTAGGCAATTCCACTTAAATTGATAGATATGTTATGTTTACAACTGTCTAACATTCCTCAAGTGAGAAATTCCTCAAGTGAGAGCTAGACAATTTATGGGTCGTTACTACAGTCTAAAATATCATTCAGTACTTTGTCCTTGAGTATCTGAGACAATACAAATAGTGGTATAAAGCCCAGTGACAGTAGACAGAGGCTGAAAGTAGACTGAGGTTGTTTTATTGTGGTTGGTTTTTCCGACTACATTTTGTTTTAATTTCCAGTGCAGATCATTTGTTCTATTTAAAGTTTATGGACACAGAACTTTTCATTTGCTTCTGTGCTCATTGTTAATGAGACTTTAGGGAGGCTTTTGCCTAAGTATAACGAAGAACTCTGCTTCCTCCGCTGCTGCACTGGTTCTCCTGAATCAAACAGAACAGTTACCATCAAAATTTGCAAAAAAGAAAAGAAACTCCCCTCCTTGGGTTCTGTCTCCAGTTTTGGGCTCCCTAGTAGATGAAAAATGCTCTAAAGAAACTGGAGTGAGCCTGATAGAACCAATTTAGTTCAGGTTGCAGCACATTACACATAAGGGGAAGCCAAGGGAACTGTTTCCTATAAACCCAGAGAAGAGAAAGTCATACATGTACCTAATTATCACCTTATGCAATGGATTGTTACAGAGATGGACTCAAACTCTTCCAAGAGACTTACAGTGGTAGAACACCAAGCAGTGGTCACAAGTTGCAAGAGAAGAAGCTCCAAATGGGTATAATGAAAATATTCTTCACAGTTAAAGTAATTCAGCCCTGGAACAGGTGTCTAGATGGATTGGGGGATCTCCATCTTCTGAAATTTTTGAAGCTCTACTGGACAAGGGCCCGAGAAACGTGATCTAACAAAACCTGTTTTGCTCAGGAGGTTGGACCAGATGACCTCCAGAGATTCCTTCTCACCTAATTAGTCTAATTTGTCGAAAAAGTTGAGAGTTTTTTACTGAATTTATAATATGAATAAATAAAACAACAAAAAAACCCCCCTTATTAAGGACTAAATTCTGTAAATGTTTATATATAGGTAAGAGAAAATCCTGGGAACCAGAAACAACTTTCAACTTTAAAATGTAATTATTTTGATTTTGTTACTTTATTTCTACTTCATATTATTACTTTAATTTTATTTCTGCCATCTTCATTTTAAATGAGTAGTAACAAAAAGGCATGTGATTGAAAAAAATATTCAATAACTATTAAAATACTAGAGTGATGAAAAAAAGCAGAAAACACCAGTAGTTTGATCTTGGGACACTGTTAGTCCTCTCTTCATCTCAGTTCTTGCAGACCTGAAATATTCTACCAATGTCCCTCACTTTCATTCTTATATATATATATTAAAAAATCAACACAGTCCTCGCAAAACCAGCCTCCAGAAACAATAGAAAGGAAGGAGTTAATTTGCAGGATCTGGAAAACAAGTTTTCAGGGAGAATTTGTCTTCAGAGACTCAGTTTTTAGGTATCTTCTATCATTTGGAGCTCAGACTAAAGTTTCTTTTAATTAAAATAAACAAATTATCTCAGTATGACATTTTTTCTTTATGTCTTTGCCAGATTTGTGGAACAAATCTAAATTGGTAATGTCTCATCTTTAAAAAACAAAGCCAATGAAACTGTTTTTGAGACCTTACTGCAGGCAAGTTTCCTTAGAAATTTCAAAAGGGCTTTCCTAAGGAAAAAGAAAAGTAATATAATTTCCTATTTTAACTAAGATCTCTAAATATATTTAGAATTCCACCACAACCACCATAAACAGACAAGTGGCACAAAGATACTCTGAATCAAAGCTGTCAAACTGTAACTTATAATAAACAGCGTTCTTGAACAATTCTAAGCTGTGCAATTTAAGTCAAAGCAAACACAGGCAACTAGTAGTCATTTTAAATGAAACATCAATGATGCTTTTCACTTTTTATTGCCTCATAATTGTACTCACTTCCAGAAAGAACTGCTAGCATTACTATCCAATTTCTCAGTTTAGGGGAAATTTGAAGCCAATTTTGTTTCCAGCTGACATCCAAAAAAATAAGTGTCCTTTTACTATACATAGATTCTATGGGTCTTTTGTGGTGTAGACGAGCCAAACCACTACTTCCAATACTGTGTGACAAATATATCCAGGGACAAAATGGAAGAAACCAGAACCTGAGGCAATGGGAGCATTATGCTGGAGGTTCTCAGATCTTTCAAAAGAACATAGGTGATTGTCATTAGGTTTATAAACAGCTGAAGTATTTCTCATTTGAGTGAGACATCTGAAGAGAAGGTATTTTCGAATGTTATTCTTTAATAAATCAAGACATCTAATACCAAAATACTGGCCATATTAGAACTGAAAACTAATTCAAAGCAATTAATATATTTTACTTAATTTCTGATTGCATTAATAATCATAACACTAGTATTTGAAACATCTTAAGAGTAGCCTTGTTCTGTTGTGAGGCTAACACAATACTTAATCATTAGCAGATTGTAAAAGTAGGACGTTATTTATTTTCCCTATTTCTGATAGAATAACAGAATTAGTGCTGCTTCTTAAACATCAAGTTGACTCTGCACAAAAGAATTACCAAGAATATATATTTAAAATAAAAAGGAAAAGAGGAAGGTACAACCAAATGATAAAAAGAAACCATGCAAGAGATGACTCAAGGATTCAAAAAAAGTAATAAAAAAGTTCAAGCAAATCACATGCTTATAATAGTTTGCAGAGGCAGGGACTTTTGACTGAAGAAGCAAATTGAACAAACTAATGTCTGGTGCCTCTGAAACCACAGGCAAGATGACAATGTAACTGGACTTAAAGAAGGAAAAGTAGTGGCCCAACATCAAAGAAAGCATATTTAAAAAGGGGGTGAGGGGAAGACAAGAAAGTTGTATCCAAGTTCCATCCAAGAACAAACTAAAAAGATTTTAGAATCCTGAGCGTTGCATTGCTGGTTTTAGTTTAAACAATGCCCAAGAATTTTTTTTTTGAACATTCAAGTCTGTAACTGAATTTTCTCAGGACTGTAAGTATGCATGGCAAAGAGCCTTAAAATGCTACTGAAGTATTTCATTGATACTTTCCCACTACTTTCTTTTCCCTGGCAATACAAAAACTCTTCCCTTAGTAAAGGCACTCCAAAACCAGAAATGTGTGTATTTTCAACAGCTTTTTCATGCAAGAGAACGTTGACTTTGAAAGAAACAAATAATGAAGAACATTTTGCCATGAAAAACTGTGGTCTCTCAGAGAAACAGGGTAATTCTTATTGTCCCACAATGGAAACGAAAATCAAGTCATTAACTATAGAGTGAAATAACTTTCAGGCCCAGTTCAGGACTCCATTAACCAAGGAATCTCATGACTATAAATATATTTTGAAATACATATTTTTGCCTAAAAAAATGTTAAAAATTAAGGAGGTGGATGAGAAACGAACGTACTTCAGTTATTACCTACTCTATCATAAAAACATAAGTAAAATTATTCTTCAGTATTATCAGTAACAACACAAACATCAATAAGAATACAAGCGTTAGCACATTATAACACTAAGACAAAATCTTGATTTCATTAAGAATGAATTTATAAATCAATTTTAACATTAAAGATAAAGACTTGGCTATTTGGAGACAACTGTATGCCTAAACAACACTGATTTTAATAGTATTTAAATACTTTTAAATACTTAAAAATATCTAAACCCCAAAACTAAAGCCTACATAATGGAGAAAATTAATATATAACAGTCTTGCATCAGCCAAGGAAATAAAGGAAAAGAATACCATTTCCTGTTTATTAGAGCACTGTATAGATGAATTATTCAACTGAAAAAACTCTCCACATTCTAGCAAAACACTCCAAAGTGAAAAAAATTACCAGTCTGTTGCTAGTTAATTTTGATACTCCAAGCTTTTGTTGAGGATAATTAAATCCATAGTATGTAACAATGAGATTTTTAACCCTTCTCTTTCCAAGCAAACTCAAATAAGATAAAGATTTTTTTCTCCCTGGAGTCACCACTGAACCCAGAAATATTTAAAGATAAGTGTATGAGCTAATCTGAACCCACATCATGATGTCAGGTAAGCAAATAAATCTCTTTTGGGTGAGAAAATATTATAACAAATATTATTTTAAAGTCTATTTTAACTTATTCTAATGAAGTTTCAAAATCACTGGCTCTTCATTTTCACTGTCAATTACTCTTCTGCTTTATGTCGGACTTCAAAGAAGAAAATAAGCAAAAAAAAAATTAAACTATAAAGAGAGAGAGATATTTTTCTTCCAAATAACAACTTCAGAAAGGCTTAGTGTCCAGCTGAGGATGTCTGTTTTCCTACAGTCCTAAACACAGGACAGTGCAATAGATGCGAGGAATAACTTACAGATTCATAGGTTAGACAAACTCCAGATAATGAATGAGAAAGAAGTTGGCATCTAAAGTAATACTTCCCAACTCCCTACAAGTTTGGATTCTCAGCAGTAAGTTTGATAAGCAAACATTATGCAGAAATTCTGCTTCCTGCAGCATGGCATTTTCTCCCCCACTAAACCCAGTACAAATTTCAGCAATTCAGACAATAAATCGAGCAAAGAGAATGGCATATTGGGAAATCCACCTGTTTCGGAGCAGCATTCAATCCACACAATGAGTGCAGAGAGCTTCATCAGTCTTAAATGCCTGCCTTTGCAAACTGTGAAATATGAATAGTGCTTGATTACTAAATGGAGGTGAAAAACAAAAACAGGACCAAAAGCACTGCCTTACATGTTAAGACAAAAATAATAAGGGCAAAATTTAGGAAAATCTCCACAGGTATTAATGAGCATCCCTAACTTAATGAAAACTAAACGGGGATAAGATTTTCATTAGGTTTACCTCTTCATGAAACTATATAGGGAATACTTTTCTAAGGCAATGAACTGAGCCTATATTACAGACAGAAAAAGAATCAGACGTGGATTTTTATGGCTATACAACATAAGAGGTAACAGAAGCAGTGCTATTTCAGGAGTCAAAAATGGAACCCTTGCATACATAAAATTCTCAGGGGATTGTATATCTCCTAGATTCAGATATGTTAGCATTTAGAAAATTAAAATACCAATCCACACAATGAGACAAAGACTTGGCAGCTCTCCTCTGAGTAATACAACAAAAGCAAAAGTAGCTTAACCCTGATTACTTGCAAGATCAAAACGTACCATTCTGCTACTGGTTTGGCAATGCTGTCAAAAATCACATCTTGTTTTGCCTCTTGATCAAAAATTTTCTGAAATCTGAAAATATTAAGCAAATAAAAATTTCTTAGAATGCTAAAACACTACTTGATTCATACATTTTTGTTTGTGTTTGTAATAGTCAATGTTTACATCATTAGGCTTACATAACTTAGTACAATGTTTTCCCTGTAGTCTTAACCACAGCTTGCTGTTGTGCTATTGTACATAAATAGGCTGTACACAGAGCTGCTTTGACAAGATCTGTACAATAAAATCCTCTGATAAAATGATGTGGCTTAGAAAAAACTAAACCGTATTTTAAATCTATCAAGAGAATCAGTGTTTGTAACTGGCACCACACTGAATCCTGGATAAATAGATTACACTATAACCAAATACAGCATCCCACCAGTACAGCAAGGCTCACATTTTTTCATAGCTATTTCCTTCACTCTGCTGCACTATTACTATAGGTCACAAGGAGATATCTAATTCAATATGTTTTGTCACTTTTTATATAAAATATCTGAAGTTGCCTTACAGAATCAAAATTCTGGAGATTGGAAGGGACCATCTGCTCCAAAGCCCCTGCTCAAAGGAGAGTCAGATAGAACAGGGGTCCGTTGAGTATCTCCACATATGGGGGCTCCACAGCCTTTCTGGGTAACCTGTTCCAATATTTGATCACCTCACAGTGGGGTCCCCAGCACAGAAAGGACATCAACCTTTTGGAGATAGTCCAGAAGAGGGCCATCGAGATGATTAGAGGGATGGAGCACCTCTCCTATGAAGAAAGGTTAAGAGAATTAGGATTGTTCAGCCTGGAGAAGAGAAGGCTTCGGGGTAACCTGATTGTGGCCTTCCAGTACTGAAAGGGAGCCTATAAGGAAGATGGAAAGAAATGTTTTACAAGGGCATGTAGTGACAGGACAAGGGGGAATGGCTTCAAACTTAGAGTAGGTTTAGATTAGATATTAGAAAGAAATTTTTTACTGAGGCACTGGAACAGGTTGCCCAGAGAAATTATGGATGCTCCATACCTGGGAGTGTTCAAGGCCAGGTTGCATGGAGCTCTGAGCAATCTGGTCTACTGGAAGGCTTCCTGCCCATGGCAGGGGGTGTTGAAACTATATGATATTTAAGGTCCCTTCCAATCCAAGCCATTCTATGATTCTATGGTATTTCCTGTATTTCAGTTTGTGTCCATTAACTCTTGTCCTGTCCATGGGCACCACTGAGAAGCATCTGGCTCCATCTTCTTTATTCCCCCTCTCTCCATCATGTATTGATAAGATCACCTTGAGTCTTCTCTGGGCTAAACAGTCCCAGGTCTCTTAGCCTCTCCTCACACATCAGACCCTCCAGTCCCTTAATCATATTTGCGTCCCTTTGCTGGGAGCCCAGAACTGGACATAGAACTCCAGATGTGATCTCACTGGTGTTGATGAGGGGAAGGATCAACTTCCCTTATCTAGTGGCAGTGCTCTTCTTAATGCAGCCAAGAGGCTGTTGGCCTTCTTTGCTGCAAATGGTGTATTGCTGACCCATGTTCAATGTTCTGTCTATCAGGATTCCAGGTCTGCAAGCCTGCTTGCAGTCAGCCTTGGGCCTGCCCTGGTTATTCCTCACGAGGAGCAGGACTTGATATTTCACTTTGTTGAACTTTATGAGATTCCTAAGGACTCATTTCTCCAGTCTCTTGAGATCAGCAGGAATGGCAACGCAACTATCTGGTGCATCAATCATCCCTTTCAGTTTTATATTGTCTGCGAACTTGCTAAAGCCACACTTGGTCCCATCACCCAGATCCTTAATGCTAAATGGTACTGGATCCTCGCACTGGCTACACTAGTGACTGGCCTCCAGCTGGCCTGGATGACAGCCCTCTGAGCCCCTGATGCAATCCTCAGCTCAGCAGCTCGGTTTGTTTTCAACACCCCTCACTCTGTGCTTATCTAGGCTTTCCTGCTCCCACTCCTCACACAGCCTTCCTGGGTCACCTGGCACTGCTCCCAACTCTTCCAAACTTCCTTTTAATATTGCCATTTAGTCAGGAGCTGCTTCCTCATCCAATCAGATCTCCTGCTGCCTTTGCTGCCATGCTGTTCATCTGGATGGACAGTTCCTGAGCTTGGAGGAGGTGATCCTTGAAAATCAGCCAGTTCTCCGGGACTTCTCTATGAGGCTGTGTCTCATACAATTCTTTCAATCAGGTCTGTGAACAGGCCGAAATTTGCATTTATGGCATCCAGGGTTGTGATCCTACTTTTTGCCTTGCTCCCTGAGCAAGTATCCTGAATTTCACTATCTCATGACCACTGCAACCTAGGCTACCCCCAGGTTTAATATCTCTCATCAGTTCTTCCATGTTTGCAAATACGTGGTGCAGCGGAGTTTTTCCCTTCATTGGCTTTTTAATCGTATGTTAGGAAGTTGTGATCCATATACTTCAGAAACCTCCTGGACTGCTGGTGTCTGGCTGTGTCGTTCCTCCTGCTTGGAAATGTACACTCACATAGAACTTCCCAGGGTATGTAGAAAAGCATTGCAGACGCCGGGTATACGGAAAAGCACCACGTTGACCCAGGCAATGTGTACAGTATCGCAGACAAATATACAAAACATAAATGCATACATTCTATCCTGATAATGCTTAATCAGTCAAGTAACTCAAACAATTGTGTTTCGTTCCCATACAAGAGAGTAAAAACAAAACAGAATAATGTTTGATGTGACCAGGACAAATAGACTGCACGAAAGAATGAGTTTTACGGAGGAAAAATAAATGCTTACTCCATAGAATTATTTTTGCATTGTCTTATGGGTAATAAGACACAGTGTTTTTCAAAATCCATCTCTATATAGATTTATTTATTGATAAATTATAAAGTCAGAAAAAAATATCAGCATTCATTAAGTTAGGCTTGGGCATCTGCAACCTAGCCTATTAATACTGGATATTAATCTATTTGGAGAGGGCAGCTCCTCTCTTCCCAAGCTTTCCTTAGCTGATGTAAAATGACATCAGTCTGAAGTGCAGATGTTTATCTAGGGCTCTCTTTTTTAATAGCATAGAGCAACAAATTGACTTGTTTATTATTACAAAAAAATAAAGAATATTCCACTTGGAAAAAGACAGCATTGTCCTCATCATTAGAGGTGATTATATATCTAGCTTTATTTATCATCAAAATTATAAAATGTTGCCTCAAAGTTTTCTGCTGAAGTGATGAAAATATTTGATTGATATTGCTGGTAGAGATTTTAAGTTCCTAATAAACATTTACATTCTACAACCAAGGTTTTGTTTCTTTCAATTACTTCTGTTTTTCTGCACCTTGTTTTGGTAATGTCTGAAACATAGTTACTAAACAAAGCGGTTTACATCAAGACAACTTTTAGCCAGCCTAGGACAACTCATTAGATCACAAGAGCACGCACAGTCCTGCATTCACTCCTCATACACAAACTCAAAACAATCAGTAAAAATGGAAGAACTGATAAATGAAAATGCAACCTTTGAGATGAGACTTAAAAATGTATAATAACTTGTAATGGACAGACAATAGTACCACAACTTTACCCAATGCTATCAAACTCGTGGTGAAGAGTATATGCTGAAGTACTCCTCTTGTTAGGGAGTTGTATAAAAATAAACCTACCTATACCAAAACTTAAGATTAGACTTTTCCTGATTCTGTACATCTGTATCACTACACATAGAGTTAGCAATCTCTAAAGGCAGAAGAAGCAAAGATAATGCTTTTACTCACTTGAACTTGTAGGTCTCTCGTTTATTATTGACAAACCCATCTGCTAAGTCACGTGGCACAGTAATCTCCAGACTGGAGAGAAGATCCTCCTCATCATCCACTGAATAACTCTAATAAGCATGGATATGAATTCACAGCATAATTTCACCAACAGAACAGCATAGCCCTTAGACATATACTTATGTAAGTTTAGCACCTGTAACTGCCTCAAGAAAAAATTTGTACAAATTTCACTAAATATTTGCCCAGATCCTCCTTCGGTTATTATACAACGAAACCAGCACATACCAACTGTCACCATGTAAACACTACAACAATACCTGAAACAAAAGTGTAACCTGACATGCTTACTAAACCACTTCGATATCTGTGGTGTTGTGAAAAACAAAGCACAGCCCCAAGTGCAAACTTCTCCAAAAAAAACTGGAAGAATACATTAGGAAAGGCTACGACAAAATGAGTTGAGCTGGTTTAAAACCAGAAGACAAGTAAGAGACCTAAATGCACGGTTTCTGAGGAACACTTTCATTATCTTTATTATTCCTTGCAAATACAGCTATACCCTGGGAGCTACACGTTCCCCTCCCGTGCTCAGAACGGTGCTGAACTGCATAAAGCCGGTGACCAGTGTCAAGTGTTTTCCTGCGGAGCCTTTCTCTAACAAACTAGGCTGGAAAGAAAGTTCCTCGCCCCTTCCCCCAGCAGTTACAGCCTAAGCTCTACTTCGTGATTTTAGGAACTTCTTAAGGCTTCGGAGCGCAGGAGGGGGCTGTGGCTTTCCCCGCTCGCGTACCCACCCCTCCGCCCTCACCAGCCGGCCGAGCTTCTTGCAGGGAGGGGGGCCCGCTCCCTGCCCGCTCCCGGGGGGACGCGGGCCCCCGGGACGGCCTCGGCTCTCCCCAGCAGCCCCCCTCCACCCCTGGCAGCACAGCGGCACGGCTCCCCGGCCTACCCCCGCCTGCTGCCGCCTGCCCAGCGGCTTCACCCGCGCGTACACCCGGATAGTTTCCTTCACCATCGCTGCCCGCCGAGCCCCTGGCAACGGCAGCGCGGCTCGGTGACCGAGCACCGTGACCCGGCACTGTAACCCGGCACGGTGACCGAGCGCGGTAACCCCGCACGCTCCGCGACCGGCAGCGATGGGAGGCGGCTCCGAGCCATCTCACGCCCTCGGGTGGCCTTGGAGGGGCTTGGAGAAGGGAGGAACCGAACTCCACCTGCGCGGGATGACTGCCTGCCTGGCCCTTAAAGGCAATTCCCCGCCAGCGGTGCTCCCCGAGGCCGCAGTGTCACGGCTGTGAGGAGAGGGAGCTTGTACACACTGCCCATCCCAGGGGTGCGGGGTTGGTGTGGCGTGTGGAGCGCTCCGTGGGCACGCCAGGAATTCCCCGCCTGACCTGTTGTGCCGTACCTGTGTGTCCGCATGGCTCTGCTCGGGCTCCGATCATCTGTGTAAGGCTCAAGGGAAGTCTCTGTTGTTATGCGGTTGAAACACCATAAAGGGAAATGGAAGCAAAATACCTAGATTACAGGCAATGAAGGCATCAAGTCCTTAATTCTAGTATAAAAAGGGTTGGGGAAAAACTGCTAGTGGGAAATAAAGGGTGTCGTCTTGTTACAAGAGTTAAAACAGAAAGCAGTAACAACAGGACCCCATTACTCTGAAGTGGTTACCGAAGATTCAACATGATAGTATTTTGGCGTTCTTTTTGGTGAGACATAGTGGTAGAGATCAGATTACAAGTGATTACAAGTAAACTAATTGAAATTAAGTGGAAAATCAGGAACGTGATTACAGAGGAGGATAGAAATTTCTTCTACTCAGATATGGTAAAAGTATGTTGAACTTGTATTCCAAATAAGAAAAACAGTAGGGAAAAGGTTTTTCTCTCCCAACTGAATAAATAACTGTCTCAGAAAGCATATGAGGCATAAGTAGTGAGCCTTCAGGGAATAAAATGGAAAAGGACTAATCACTATCCAAAGTCAAGTGCAAAAGTCAAAAGGGTAAAAATGAAAACAAATGGAAAATATTACTTGGTGATTAAATAAAGAATGAAAAAAAACCGAGGACATTGGAATAGAATAATGGAATAGACAGTGTCTTCTCAACATTGCTCCAAAATGACAGAAAAGTTTTTCTCTTGTCAGTGTAGGGATGGGGATGTTGAAGGTAATGTTAGAGGCAGAAGTGACTAAAAGAGGGAAATATGAAAGAGAAACAAATACAGCCAAGAGGGAAACAGAAATCAGTGTTCAGTGAATTTAGACTAGAAGATCAGGATTTGGGAGGTAAGCGTAAATAATTTCAGTCCCAGAATTCTGAAAGAATTGGGCTGTTTAATTGAAGGCCCGGGAACTGGGTTAATTTGTTATGTTTTTTTGGTTTTGTAATGAAACAGACGCAGGAGAGTACAGTATTGTTTGAAAACTGCAAATATAATAGTCAACTGTGTTATTTAGCAGCTTAGCTGGATTCTGAATTAAGTGGGCAGTAGACATTGTAACACTGCAGTTAATTGTGAGGAAAGCCATTTCGTGTCTGCTGGTTTTCAGTAGCTGGAGTATGGAGTTGGTGAATGAGACTGTACTGCTTCTGGGATCAAGTCTGCTCTGTAAATGGTTTAGGTGCCCCTCTTCAACACAAAGTCTGACCTGTAAACTCTGAACCAATGGCACAGTGAAGACACACCGGTTTTACACAGGACTAGTCTAAATACGATCTGACCTGCACAGAGAAGCCAATGAGCCAAGTTGCTTCCAGAATGAAAGCATAGGCTGAATTTCTGAGAGCGGAGAAGGAATTCTGGGCCATCTGCAGAATGGTCACTTGCATAGCAAGAGGAGAACAAATAAAACAGAAAGGACACGATTGTCTTCTGAAATACCCTTTCTGTTACACAGCAGTCCTTGCAGAAATGCTGGAGTGCTTCTGTGTTGCGCTCCACAATATATTGCCTTCAAGACTGGCATGTTAGCCCAGTAGCACCCAAATCAGAATTAGTACTCCAGGCTTAGTTCTTCTGCAAAACAAAATCTGCATCGTTAATTAGAGCATCAAAATTATCCAGGTTTTCCTCTTGGGTGGAGTATGTGATATGCTGACTGCACGAGATGGGAGATCAGCAGAAGAATTATAAGAGGAGTGAGAACCTAGTCAAAGGTGCTCTGTTATAGTTTGTTAAGAAAAAGGATGTTCTTGGACTGTAAGGAAATTTTTAGTAGACTTTTGTGAGACAGAGCATATGTAATATTTTAGTTAATGACTTTGCACCAAAAATGGGATTGTGTATTAATTAAACTCTGATGATGATGTGGCTGAGGGTTTAATGTGCTGAAAAGGATAAAGATATACAGGAAAAGATGAATGAGTAATAGATATGGATAGGTTTAGAATAATAGATACGGATAACTGTTAAATGTGGTACAAGTTGCAAAATGCTGAAGGCATGTGGGACTGAGGACTACTGACAACATATTCTGCTACAGTCTGAAATCCATTCAGCTAGAAATATCAGAAGATTTTCTGGTTGTGGAAGTCCAGATGACAGCTGCCAATGAAAAAAAGACAGCTGTGGTTCTTCAGTGAATCAAGAATGTGTTCTACAAAGGAAAGAAAGCATTCACACTATTTTACAGAGTCCTGGTGAGACCTTCAGCATACTTTCCCTGTGTGTTTATGATCAGTTCTTTTTATTTCTGCAAGTTTTTTAATACAGGGGCTACTGGAATGATTAATCTGATGGAGATTTTGCTGTAAGACAACAAACCTGTAGGAGTTGATTTATTTAGCAAAGGCTAAATATGAGAGGCTCTATGGGCGTGTATGAATATACTATGAGTAATTGATGTGGAAGTAAAAGAATCTTCTAAGGCAGACATAAGAAAAAAATGGAAATAATTTCAGGTGAATAAATGCACACTGGAAAGCAGAAGAAAATGGAAGGCATGGTTCTTGATTCTTTCCTTTGGATGCTAGAGAAAACATGATAAAATTATGAAAGAGTACTACATGACCACTTACCTTAGCAGGGATAAGGCACAAGGATAAATCAAGAACCTCTGTTCCAAGAAGTCTTTTTCAAGCATCTTTTTAGAACCATATTATGAACAAGAAAGCTAAGAGAAAGTGAGTACTTTCTCTTCCCCCAAGCCACCCAATGGGACTCAACTTATTTATTATCTTAACCATTTTTGTTGCCTTAACCGTTATAGTATGTCCCTGCCTGGGTGTAATCTGTGTCTGTTTTCTGTTTAAGGTCATTGTTAACATGTAATCTTGAGTTCATTAAAAGAACCCATGCTCTCAGTTATACCTCTTAGGCTGTAGGAAACCTTCTGTCAACTTCATAATTTGAAAAGCTGTAAGGCATACACTGCTCCTAATTAGATTGGTCAACAGTTGCACATTTCACAGAAAATATAAAATAAGAATCTCTAAGTCAAAGAACTTCCACAGCTTGATTGTTTATCTTCTTGTGCGTCTTGAAGTCTTCTTTTCATATGTAAGAAATCAAATTTCTCTTTTTACTGACTCTCATTTTCCTAGTCTCTATGTTCTGTGTCTACTTCAGCTTGTCAAGTACAGAAGATAGTAAGAAACTGATTGTGGTTCTTCTACATCTCATCACCGTGGTTTTCATTGTCATATACAGTTCCTAAGATATTTAAATCTAAAGTTCAACATTTTATGTTATCCTTTTAGGGGAAATTCATACGCTCCGATATGGTCAAGAAAGAAAAGAAAAGATAAAACTTTTCCTCACTTGGTTCAATCATTCCAGCAATTTAAGAACAACGTCAGGTGTTGTCTGCATTTATTTCAGTGGGTTGAATGCAGCTTCATTTGTGCTTAGGAACAAGAAGTGCTGATAAATACTTTAGGAGGTTCAAAGCAGTTTCAAAAAGTGCTCATCTTCAGAGAGATTCTACTTCAATAAGAAATTATCAATTTGCTTTAGGAACTAATGGACAAAGTTTTATGTTGTCTTATACAAGAGGTCAGATTTTGTAGCTTTAAAGTCACTTCCAATTTCAAAATAGATAATCTCTAGTTTTTTTGTATCTCTGAGTTATGACTAGCTTATATGTGAGTATTTTCATATAGGATTTTAAAAGTGTTAAGCAAAGGAAAATTTGTGCCATTGTGGAAGATAAAAGGCTCCCATTTTTGCAACTGCTGTGAGATATGCATTTAAGAATGAAGACATATGGAGACGTAATCTCCTAATATCTTGTAATAATACTTACTGTCTCCTAGTATCTTATTTTATTGTTAAGAAATGTGGGTATTGATATGACTGCTACATTTTTATAGGTATTAGTCCCAGGGAAATTTTCTCTAAACTTGGGTTCTTTTCCCAGAAAAGTTATATAAATGATCAAAGTAGTATGTGCAGGTATGTATAAGGACAGAAACTATTAGGCACACTTAAAAACTAATTGAAGGACTAATTAAGCTACTTATTTTGTTTGAAGCAGTAAAAATAACACAAATAACGAAATAGTAACAAAACCCCCAAAATAGCACAAAACCGTAATTAACCAAGAGTTGTCTGTTTCAATCTCTTCACTATTCCATTTACTATTTCATATTATAACTTAATTTTCGTATGAACAGGGGTTTGATTGGAGTCCCCACTATAATGAGTCTAGTGGGGACTCATCAGTGCTTGCTAGAATGAAGACAAAAGAAAGGAAAGAAAAAAGAAAGGTGTTGGAGCTTGTCCAAAGAAGGGCAACAAGGCTGGTGAAAGGTCTGGAGCACAAGACCTATGAGGAGTGGCTGAGGGAACTGTAGTTGTTTAGCCTGCAGAAGAGGAAGCTTAGGGATGATCTTATCACTCTCTACAGCTGCCTGAAAGGAGTCTGTAGCCAGGTGGAGGTCGGCCTCTTCTCCGAGGCAACTAGTGACAGGACAAGAGGACACAATCTTTAGGTTGGACATTAGGAACAAGTTCTTCACAGAAGGGGTGTTTGGTCGTTGTAATGGATTGCCCAGGGAGGTGGTGGATTCTCTGTCCCTGGAGGTGTTTAAGAAAAGACTGGACATGGCATTTAGTTCTATGGTCTAGTTGACAACGTGGTGTTAGATCTTAGGTTGGACTCGATGATCTTAGAGGTCTTTTCCAACCTAGTTGATTCTGTGATTCTGTCAAACAGCAGATTTCCAACCTCTAAGAGAAAATAAAAGGTAAAAAGATCCAAGAGGAACATGATGAACAAAGGCCACTTAATTTAATCCACAATTACAGAATTGCTGATTAACAGAAGTCTTCTCTTGAGGCCTAGCTTAAGAAGTAATTTGGCTCTTAAAATTTTCGTAAGATTTGGGAAAGAGGATTGTTACTAGTGGTAAAGAGCTGATTACAAAGATGCAGGAATTGTAGGACATCTATTTATTATGACCAAACAAAAAGAACTGTTTTCAGAATTTGTATTTCTTAGAACTTTGAAGAAAGTCTTGGAAAATGGGGCCTAAAGGTGACATCTAACTGTTCCAGATAATGGACTGGTCTAGAGGTTGCATCTTATGATGGAGGCCTGAAAAGTTTTTGTTTGCTTTAAATTTATTGTGTTTGAGATCTTCTTTCTCTCTTCCCTGGGAAATCACCTTGTACTTGAAGAATTTTCAGCATTGGCATTTATGCTAAACCTCAAAGATGTATCAACCTTCTTCAGCTCCGGTATTAGAGAAAGTGCACCACAGAACACAAGCACCCTATAGGCTTGAAACAATTAGGTGACTGTATGAGTTACAGGATCTGACAATTGCATGTTTTGAAAAGGTCAGCCATTGCATTTTGAAGTAATAGTTACAGCGTCACAACTAACTGTCTGCCTTTACCATTATAGTTTTCTTCCAATTAGAAAAATAATATGGGTCATAATATATACTGGGGCTGGCAGTTCAAGGACTTGTGCTCCATTATGTCACCTAGCAACTTAATATGCTTCCA